TATTTTTCTTATTTCCATCTAATAATTCACTGTAGTAATCCAGTTTAGCTATTCATAATAGCAGTTGATTTATTCTTATATTTTTAATATTTATTCTCTACCTCCAATGGTCTATGCTTTATGAAATCTTTACATAGTTTGTTCTTTTTTTTACAGGCATTTTGCAATCCCTTCGTGATCCATGGAGCTTCTGAGTACTTGAAAGCTGAGTAATGCCGTATTCTAGATATTATGGCAATCAATAAATCTGTGGCGGGAGAGCCTGTGATGAGGGGGGGAAGTGAGCGCAGCAGGAGAGCCACAGCAGAAAGTCATGGAGAGATGGCGATGTTTTACGAGTGTCTTGTTCAATTGTGTTGTGAATAAAAGTAAATAAAAGGGGGCAGGGGGGTGCCGGTGGACGCCGCGGACGCTACGTGGGGAGGAGGGGGGGGGGGGGGTACCACGGACGCTATGGCCGTCACGGCTCGGTAACCGGATTCCGATTCCTTGGCGTGAGGATTGGATGTGTGGCGGAAGTGCGTGACACTTGGGGGCGGGGGGCTGCGTCATTTCCTGTTAAAAGACAGACAGACAGTCCGTCTGTCCAATCAGAAGTGTTAATCGGGCCCTGGTGATGTGTGGAGCAGATAACAAAATGTATGGCCGAGTTTTTTCGGGCGAATAGTATTTCTTTGCGCTGCGTCACGCTCACCTAGTTCAATATCCTTTCAATCTTTATATCGGGGCTGTCGAGTTTTCAAGAAAAGTTGGCGTGACATTTTGTCGGGGGTGGACGCTACGGTCCAAATCTAATTAGGCGCTTTTTGCCAGGAGTGTAATTATTTCAGACAGTGCTTTTGCTGTGCCGCTTACCTCTACGTACAGCCTTGGTTCTGGAACTGTACTCTCGGATAAGTGATGGACTCTACTTTTATAGCGGAACGAATGTATTAATCGATTAAGAAAGATCTTTTTGAGGAAAACCTGGAGCACCGGGAGAAAACTGTCCGTGTCTAAATGGAATGTAAAATGACCTTACATTAGCACAGCAGAGGACCAAGTACAGGTGTGAACACTCGCTGCAGGAAAAAAAACTCAACTGCCTACACATTTGTGACATTCGCAATGCACATTTAGCATTGCGAATGTCACAAATGTGTGAATCGATTAAGAGAATGTGTGTCAAATTATGCTACATTAGCACAGTAGACACCCATGTACGGTCATTTTTAAGGAAAACCCAGAAGAAAACAATAGCTGTTACTTCAATGGGATGCCTAAGGGTGGTTAGGTGTCTTGTTCGGGACCAGCCGGCGAGGGTTCAAACCACCAAGGCCTTTTCCGGTGCACCCTTTCTACATGCGACAGAGGACACTTGCTCCTCGAGAACGTCCAATTGTCTGTTATTGATCTCGTTTTCTTCCCTTATTGCCTCGTTGCGCTCTTTCAGAGGTGATTCTTTAAAGGCCTCTTCGTGGAGCTGTTGAAGTTCTCTCAGAAGGTCGTCGTTCAGTAGCTTGTTGGCGTTTTTAACTGATAACAGGGAGTTGTAGATACAAGTCAAAACATGCGTTCCCTGAAGGGTGCTCTGCAGTTCCTCAACCTGACGCTGAAGAGTGCAGTTTTCACCCATCAGGGTTTCACTCTCGGACTTTATTGCGTTGTTTTTTTCCTCATACTTCTGCTCTTTTGAGAACTTGTTTTCCAGGGTCTTGTGTTGCTTTTCGAGAGTTTTATTCAGTCTGGTTGCAACTTTTATATCTGTCTTCATCGATTTGTAGTTTGCCTTACAGGCGTCAAGATCTTTGAGGCTGTTTATTAGACTGAGGATATTCTCTTTCCATTCATTGTTCTTCAGCTCCAAGGCGTCGTTTAGTTCCCTCTGTGCGTCATAGCCAGCCTTCCAGTCTTTTTCACTGAGTAGCTTGCTGGTGGCCTCCGTGTGGGCCATAATCAACTGTCGCTGCTGCGCCTCCAGAACAGTCTTCTGGCATTTCTGTTGCGCTGCCAAAGATTCTCTGGACGTGAGCTCTTCATTGAGGGCCTGGATTTGCTGTTTTAGATCATTGGTTGTTCTCTCCAAAGCGTCCTTACGGTGCATTGAATCCTCAATTTGACGTTGTTGGTTTACAAGTTTCAGGTTTATTTCACTTTTCTCATCCCCCAGAGCTGAAACCTGTATTTCTAACTCCTGCGTCTCTGCAATCAGTTCCTTATTCTTATATTGCAGACGTTTGTAATCCAAGTGAGTCGAAGCTGTTTTGGAGGCCAGGTTCTTCACCAAAGTCTTCTTCATATCAAGCTGATGGGCATCTCGTTCACTGGCCTCAGATAAAAGGTTACATTCATTGGTAACCTTTTGCAGTGTGGTCTCCAGGAGCTTAATTTTTTGGTCGTACTCCTCATTCTCCTGTGTTATGTATGCAGCGTTTGACTCCACACGTTTTAAGTGTGCCAACCTTTTCTGCTGCAAGGCCACCTCTTCTTCCAGCTTTTGATGTTTAGAAGACATTTCTTCGTTTAGTGCTTTTTGGTCTCTGCAGATTGAGTCAAAATGTTGATGATTTTTGACCTTAACAAGGAGATTCTTCACCTCTTTTTGAAGGGTTTCACATTTTCTCCTAGCAATGCCTTCCTCCTGCCTGTGATGGTCATACTTGTCATTTTTAACCTTCAAACATTCCCATCCTGCAACCTTTATTCCGCTCATGTGAATTTTCATGCGCATAGACCTAAGAACTTCGCAGATCTCCCTCAGGCTCATATATTCTGCGTTGAACTGTTCAGATGACTCTGGTGGTCCCTGGTTGGAAACCGGCAGATTCGTTGTATATCCTTCAGCCATTTCTCCTGTTTGATTTAAATGTTGGGTAAAATACTTCTGTGTACGCGATAAAACTTGAAAACAGCGTTGTATTGTCAGTGGTCAAAGGTTATGAACTGATGCAGGACTGAGAACAGAAAGCGTGCAGCTCTCAAGAAGTCCAGTGAAGTTATGAGGGACAAAATGGAACCCAACAACAAAGCACATCGGAACACAGTGACACGTTCTATGATGTCAATGGCGTTGCCAAGCAACAAGGAACTACTTATGTTGCATCATCGGTAATGTGGACATGAAGGAGAAATCTGTTTTTTTAAGCTTCAAAAGTCATATATATCTGGATATATGAGTAAAAAATACAAACACTTTCAATATGTGAAAATATAAACAATAAAAGTTAAATTAAGATTTAAACTTGAGACAGTAATAATGACTATGTTGTGGGACCGGGTACTGCATAGATTTAAGGCAACAAGCGACCAACTCCAAAGAAGCGATATAGATTTAGCTACTGCTCTTGGCTTTCTGCGCTCATGTAACATAGTTAGAATGGATGGCTAAAACCCTTCTAAACTGGCTGAACTACGCCATCTACTGCCACAAAGTGGTACACAAACGGACCGTAAAAAGGACGGATTGTGGGTAATCCTCAGTGTAATGGAGGATTAAAAGAAGGTAACGTGTTTTGTTTATGTCCGTGGAAAATGTTTACTCATTTCATTTATGGTGTAGCTAGCTTTATTATTTTAAATGTCCTTTGTCTTTGTTTAAAGTTGCCATGTTTTTATTAAGTTGTTGATATGTTTTATTGTCTGTAACAACAATGTCCGTTTTTTTTTAGCTAGCTAACATCCATTTTATGTCGTCCTTCTAGGTCCACAATTTCCTTGGTGTCCTTTATATTTTACAGGTATGTTATGTTAAGTTGATTAACCTGTATGTATTTTTGGTTGTATGTTTCATTGTATTGCTTGTGTAGTCAAGTTCTGTTCTTATAAAACTATACGATCACTGTCTAAGTATTTTGTGTGAGTGTAATGGAGGATTAAAAGAAGGTCCACAATTTCCTTTGTGTCCGTTATATTTTACAGAAGTTAACAGCTCCAGCACGACAAACATAGAAAGCAGAAGACATCTCACAGGGGTTACACTCACTGCATTCCAACGTGATCTCCAAAACCTGTTCGTAAAAATGTATACGAAAATCTTCAACATACAAATTCGTAACAATACGAACTGCGGGGGTTTCGTATACATTTTTACGAACAGGTTTTGGAGATCAGGCTGTGCATTCATATGTTGGCACTCTACGAGAAGAGTTTGCAGAGCTCGAAGAATCCGCATGCCGCACGCACTGTTAGTGCCACACAAAACTACCAGTTTGACTACAAGAAAGACATTTGCAGACGAGTGTGGTGATGACAGTGAAGTAGCTTTTACTGATAGTAGTCAGAGATTTAAGGTCAAAACATATTATGTCACCATTGACAGATCTGGATAGTTCCTTCTCAGACAAACTTATTCAGTTGGAGCACTTGAGACTTCACCTGTACAGCTTCTGCAAGCTCTTGAGAGACATGGACTTAAGACAACCGTTGCAAATGTTTATGTTGCACTAAGAATGTTTTTAACCTTGCCGGTGTCTAACTGTGAGGGTGAGAGGTCGTTTTCTGTTTTGAAACGAGTTAAAAATGAGCTGAGGACCACAATGTCACAGACACAGCTCTCTGCACGTTCTCTCTTGGCCATCAAACATGAACTTGTTAGTGCCCTTGATTTTGAAGATATTGCACATATTGCATCATATGTGAGTGAGCGGCCTTGAGGTGCATTTGTTGTTCTCTGAGCATTTGTACATCAAATGCACTTGATGACAGTTAGTTTTTGAAGTATTGAGTATATTAACTTCATATTACTGTAAATTATTCTCTATTTTGCATCCTGGGGTCGTGATCATGGGGCCCTTGAACAGCGAAGTGTTAATCTGGCCCTGATGGTGAGGCACCTGTTTGCACCAAAGAAGGGTGCGAGGGGTGGGGGCTGCAAAGATAATGATTTGTCTACACGAGCGGTTACCACAGCAGCAGGGCCTTTATGATCACACCGGCTGTGGGCGTGGGTGTGTGTGCGAAAGAAAGAGAGAGAGAGAGAGAGAGAGAGAGAGAGAGGGCGAAAGGGGGAGAGGGGGGGGGGCAGTCAGAGGAAGCTCAATCGACGATCTCTTAAATTCCTGCTCCCCTGCAACGCAATTTGTCCCCGTGTGGCTGCTTCGCTGCTCTCGTGTCTCGTGTCCGACATCCGTTCTTTCTTTCTTTTTTTTTCGAGCACAGAAGCATCAACAAGCGCACTTGAGTGCTGGAGATCCTGCAAGCGGCGCCTCACTCTCCCCATCATGTTGTAATCACAGTTCGGAGCTCGCTGGTGTATTTTGTGATTCCCGCTGAAGCGTCTGAGTTGCTTGGTACCAGCAGCAGCAAGGGGAGGAGGAGGAGGAAGAGGAGGAGGAAGAGGAAAAGCCGAAGGGAAAAAGAGAATAATGCAACATTGCAGCGCAGCGCGCGTGTTGTTCCTGCGCCGATAGGGTGATTCAAAGTGCGCGGACTGCGGGAATAGGAGCCATTTACAACGCGTTTGTTCTCGCGCTGTAGAAAAGGAAAAGATCGGAAGAGCGAGCCCGGATCATCGACCTACAAAGACCCGAAGGCGATCCTCCAACCTGCAGGGTGTCACCCTGAGAGCCCGAGGAACGATGTCCTCCACGAGATTCAAGAAGGACAAGGAGATCATCGCGGACTATGAGACCCAAGTGAAAGGTGCGGTGTGGATGTGATGCCCGTGTCCGTTTGTCCTGCTCCTTTGTTGGGGCATTTCTTTTGATTCGTGTGTCATGTGTCAGTGATCTTTCCACATCCAAAGCATAGACTGCACTGACAGGCGCCCCCCCCTTCATGGCAGGTAAACCGTGACAGTCAGTCAGAAGGGCATCGTGGAGGAGCGAGCCTCGCTTTTATTCTGCAAATGTTTCCTGTATTAATTCAGCAGCAGCCAAAGGGATTTTCGTGTGCTGAATTATTATTTTTCACAATGTGGTCAGCAATGTATTTGTATTATCCCTGTTGAAATCTTTGTTTGTGTCTTATGATTTTAAGGTGACTTCAGCTTTACGCCACGGTCAGTAGTCCTGCATCTTTTTTTAATAGAGTGTAAATCATTATTAAAAAAAAGGGTTAAGCTCTGTGAAGAAACAAAATGATAAATAATAACTTCCAAGTATTTGTATGCAACCCGAGAACGGCAGACCACCCAAATAAACAAGCGCAAAACCCATCAAGGGATTCAGTTTATTCAGCCGTGGTGTAAAAGTGACGGAGGCAACACCGTACATACGGGCAGAGCAGCCTCCTTATGAGCTCGGTGGAGCTGGGGTTGAGTTTCAAGGCCCTGGAGCCATTACTGGCACTCTCCCTCTCAGTGGTTTCACTATACGCCTCTGGGGCTTCAGCCCATCATCCCCCTGAGGCTTGTACAAGTCCAGACCTTTGGATGCTCCGGGTGTGAGCTTTTGACTTTGTAGGATCCTCAGTGTTCTTCGTGTTGATTGTTGTGATTCAGCTGCTAGTCTTTGCCCTTTATCACCTTGGTTTGGTTTCTTGGCATTTGCTGGTCATTCAGAAAATTGCATGTCTTGTTTCTGCCAATATCTTATTCTGCTGCTCTCGACTTTACTCCAGGCCATTATTTTGGTAATTCAAAACATCAATTATTCATCTGAGATCTCACTGAGCCGAGGGAGAATTACTCTTGTTTCATAGAGCTCGGCCCTGTGTGCTGCCTCTTTCCATTAGACGTATTGAACTGTGGGGGTACGAAGGTAATGTTAATTTATGGAGAATGCTGCTTGTTTCTCATTCACAGCTGGCGTGTGGCATTGCCTACAGACACGGAGAGCTCTGCTCCCGACATCCCCAACCTCACAACAATGGCGATGTTATGAATCAAAGCGGGCGGGGAGCGAAGTGTAATGAAATTCAGACTGGAAATTGCACCTGTCTTTCTCTGAGTTATTGCTTTATGGTCAATGTTTACATGGCAGAAGGGGCAGAATCATCAGTGATTGCGACATAACAACATTGCAGGGTTTATGTATGAGGTCTAATCCATTCACAGAAGAACGCTGTCACTGCTTCGGGTTTCGCAAATGATATTGTTACCTCAAACATACTGTCTGCAAGTGACTCATATAGACTTTAACTCCTCTGTTGCACTCTCACAAAACCAGAATCTTGACCCACCACCATTGATGAATTCTCGAGGACCCTCAAAGCAGTGATCTCTGAAGAACCTCGGGAGATGGTGTTCACTTTATTCACGCTGCTCAGCCGGTGGATCCTGCATTAGCATGTCAATAGAGGGGGTTCACACGCTGAACAGAGAGAGGCCGACAGCAGAGGTTGGACTCTGTTTTGGAGCTTACCGCCGTGTGTTTAGTGGACAGCAGCTCTCCCTCCTCCCGTTTGCCAGTTTAATAGGCAGCTTGTGAAGTTTTGCTCAGCCACCAGCAGCTGTTTGACATTTACGCTCCGGGTTCTGAGAGTGATGGCTGCAGTATAAACTTCCACATCCGTAGGACGGGGATGAACTGAACCATCAGTCTCTATTATATGAAACTGTGTGCTTTAAAAGTCCATTGATCAGAGGTTAACTCGCTGGCTTAACAGAGAAACAGATGACGATGGCTGAGAGACGAAGACAGAGGCAGAAATAATACCATATACGACCCCAGGAAGAAGCTTTGAAACCAAACCTGAACACTTAAGCCACACAAGTAAAAGTTGAGACCTCATTTGTCTTCTGCAGACTTTTTATTAAACTGTTCTTGTTTTTACATCTTTGTTGCCGACCTGTGTTTATATTATAACCTTAGTTTTCATATTTTGTAGACTTTAGAAGATAAAAGTAAGTTTGTTCTTTGCATTAACTTTTTTTTTTGCATTAACTAACTTTTGATGGTAGTCTTTTTCTTTCTCTATTTAAATATTTTCTAAATCAGACACATAATTACTTTCACTAACACAAGCATTTGAGAGGAGGTACAGTTTTAATGGGATTGAATTTACACGAGGCGATATTTCCCTTTACCTATTTTTCCTTTAGGATGGGGAAATGCATGCAACTGCTTTTGAAAAATGTTAAAAAGCACATACACAAAAAGAGGAAGGGTATTTTCAACTGCGAGTTCAAGTTGCAAGTGTAGTTTCTGTTGATAGTTTCTGCCAGTTCTTTCCTGCCAGACTTAATGCAAAAAAAGTTAACCTCCCAAGGAGATCAAATCGTGAAAGTAATTTGATCAACATACATTTCTAACAGGACTATATGTCGCCGGCTCTGCATGTGTATTGGCACAATTTCCACAGAATGCAAACCAGTTTCTTTTGTGCAGTCAAAATACACAGAAAGTGACAACAAACCGTTTTATTTTAAAGTATTAATGATATCATGTTATGTTCTTTGCAGCTATACATGTCAATCAGAGTATTTATGGAAATTATTTTGGTCAGAAACCACACCCCTCATATTAAAATGAAAAATACTCTGTCTCGTGTGAAATAATGACCTGAGAAGATGAGTCAATGTGTGTTATCTGTGTGTTTGTTGTAACCCAGGCTACAGAGAGCTCTGCTGAGGGAGATACCTGTTTCGATTTTTCAGCAAAGTAAAAATGTGTTTTTAAGATCAGAGCTTGCCAGCGTTACGGTGGGATTTGGTCTAATAGCTATTATCATCCCGCTGGGCAACAGAAACAGCTCTGTGGAATGTTGGGAGTTGGGTGAGAAAATGGTCGGATTGACTCACCTGCAGCTAACTGCTGATTGGGAGAACATTTCAAAAGAAGAAATGACATATTCTAACTCAGGTTTGGTCCGATACATTTTGGGTTTCACATTTTGCAGCTCCAATTGCCGTGTTGCTGAGTGAAGATTGTGACTCAAGACGACACCGCAATGTAACGTAAAACAGACAGGCCCTTGATTACACATACATTTAATCCTGAATGTAATTCAAATGGGTGAGTTGTATAAAATCAACCTTTGTCATTAATGGGAATAGAAGCTATGGAGACTTAAACATATTTTTGTACCAAGCAGTAACCCTGTTTATTTCTGCTAGTTATACATTGGGGTCTATGGGGGATTGATGCTATTCGGTCATTCACAATCACGTATTGGTGGAAATCAGTTTCAAATACTTAAATATTACTTCTTTTATAAACACCAGAGGTTGCTGCTTGATTCAGTCCACACAAATAATGTTTTCTTGCAGGGTTTGTGTGCAGGACTATTTCATGTTAGCTTTTTCGCTATTCCAGTCTTTTTCTAAGCTAATTTAGCCAATGGTTGCTTCGTACGGACATAAGAGTGGTAAAGATCCTCCAGTTTAACGAACAACAGTGAATCATTTTGCCTTCACACTTCATTTTTTTAACCTAATCACATTTTATTTAGCAAAGCTCAGCAGAAAGAGCTTGATATATTGATAGTTGGTTCTCTCTGTTTCACGAGAGATAATTAGCTTTTCATGGAGCTGGTGATCTGCCAGGCATAGATTATCATTTAAGACAGTGTTTATGTGGTTAGTTTGTTAGCCTTGATGAAGTAGACAAAGGGCCATTTACACTGAAACAACCCACATTCATTCCGTGGTTATTTGGTGCCATTCAGTACATGATTTCACATCTCCTTTCATGCATTCGTGTATGCTGAATGAATCTCACTCAACACGGTCTGAAGTGTAGATCGTCAATAACATGATTGTATTAGATGGAGGACTGAAAACTGTTTGATTGGAATCTAGATTTTTTTTAAAGATGAATTTTCTCTTGACTTTAGAAGATACTGATAGACTGATACTATAGAATTTGACATTGGAAATTGCCAATAAGGGCAGAAAAGTATGTTTTTTTTCAATTGCCACGATTTTGTCAAAATGACAGGAAATCATAACTTTTTTTTGTTTTTATTATCCAGCAAGTATTCATAGTTAGATGAAGTAATAGTTGATACAAAAAAATGAATTCATAAACAAACTTCCTGCTGAGGGACTGTGACCTTAAAAACAGAGGAAGCGGGGCAGTTTTGTAAAAATAACTCCCCGACGAGAGTTTGTAAAACGGACTATTTGACACAGTAATTAGTTAAGTTTTTCTTGTGCAGTCTTGGGAGCTGCCAAATTAACTTTATTAGGTACCGGGGAAGTGCAGGTCCCACTGAAGACTTCAGATAATTAAAAAGGGAAATCTACTATTTGAGGCTTGCAAATCCCTCTCAGCCATCACTGTTGGTGGAAATAGAAGCAAATGTGGCACAGGCTGGTTATTATTGGGAGCGCCAAACTGTGGCATCTTGTTTTAGCGTCCTTAAGTATTTATTTATTGTAGGGCTGCAACTAATGATTACAGTTTACTGTGATTCAGTTGCGGGCCTTCTGAGCCATCTTACTACAGTTATATAACCCAATAACCTCATTATGACGCCACATTTACAGGTTCTAAAAAATAGGTTTCACTTTGTGATTCTGTTCAGGCCAGTAGAGGAAGTTTAGCTGGGTCCGACGGCCCGACACTGCTGCACTAATATAAGGAGGTATAATATAATATAAGGAGCTCTTTTGTGACTCATCCAAGGTTTTACTAATCTCCCTCTGTATTTTTTAAACTGAACATTGCTCATTGTTTCACATATTAAGTATATATAAATACCATATATTGTGGGGATATTTTTATTTTAATTTAAAGGCAAACAAAAGACAATAGGCTTAGATTAAGTGCATTGATCAGCGGACACCTTGTCAGCTTCACAAATGTAAACCAAGTGTCTTTGCTAACGTGCATCCTCGCTCAATGTTGCCCCCCTTCCGCATCCATCAGACCTCACCTCGTCTCCAATAAGCTGCTCCCTGGGGTCTGGTGCGCACCTATGTTGCCATGGAGACGACCTGGTCCTGCAGTGATGGGCAGCTGTACTGAAGGGGTGTGTTTCCACTTGGAGCTTTATATGCTCGCGCTTCTCTGAAACGTCTCTTACAAACGTGACGACGATACAACCCAAACAGAAGTTTTTGATGGTTTTCCTCTCTTGTTAAGTTGGTAAGAGCCTTAATGAGCTGTTTATCATCTTGTTATCACAGATCATTTCAGATGAAGGAAAGCAGTTGGTTGAATGGTGTTCATCTTTAATAAAAGGACAGAAGTTTGTTGAAATAGTGCTACATGTGCTACAACCTCATTTGATTTATTCTTAGTTTTAGAGGACATCCAGTGGAAATCCGATAAACCAGCAGATAATTAGGCAGGAGGATTAGGAGTGAGGGGCGACCCAGAGACTGACAGCTGACATCTTGCTGTAGGACGCTTCGTCGGTTCACCTCTGCTCAGCCATTGATTGGTCGCTGCTGCTTTTGTCTTATCTGTGAGTACATGTGCTGCAGCAGCCTGGACTACTGAGGGAACAGGCGAGAGACAGACAGAGGCATGTCCTCATGAATCCCAAATGCCAATAATCATTAGGGATTCAAAGAAAAAAGAACAGTGAAGTGGGGGATTAGTTCAACGACTGGAACTTATTATAATACAGGGACAGAGAGACAGTGAATTAAGGTCTGGATGAGGGTTGCGTTTCTGTCTGTGTGTGTCTGCTTTTCTTGGGTATTTGGCTCTGCAGTGTAGAATCCACATACTGCAGAGCTGAGTTGGGGATTAGTTTAGGGAAATTTGGCTCCGAGTGGCTTTTGTCTGGTGTGTATGTGTGTGTGCGTCTATTCTCAGTTTGTGTGTCGTACTGCACCGTCATGTAAATGCCTGAAGATGTCATTTTTGAAATGTTTAACACCTTCTGAGGCTGGTTGCAATTTATTATTTATCCCCATTACACAGAGTTGTGTAGTTCTTCCCTCCATGTTTTTGGATACTGGTGCAATGACTGTGAAGTGGAATCTTTACTTCTCAAAGATTCATTAAAACACTGACCTGCATGCTAAACGTGCTTTTAATTATCAGTAGGGAATAATTGCGTCAATATTTAAGATCCGGTTTTAGCCTGTTAAGTTCAGTTTTACATCTATAGAGGAAGTGTTTTTTTCTTTTATCTACATTTCCACCTTGCATGTAGACTGAGATGGAAGCTCTCATTGCATGCATTTATTTCGTGCTCTGTGAACTAAACTACTGCAAAGACACTTCGCATACGGTGCGATGATGAGTGTGCAGCTTGAACACAGCTGCCAAACCCACGGTTTTGTCTTTGAACGTAAAAGGTCAAAGGTCCGGCATCTTCAACATCCCGCTATTGTTTTCGGAGGGTTTCCTGTGTGTCTACTGTGCTTTCAATTCCTGTCCTCAAACATTGCAAAGGAAATTATGTTGCGGAGCAGGTGTCTAGTGGAAGGGGACGTGGTCTTGATATATAGTGTGTCCTCCCATAAAATGTCATATACAGAATTCGTTACAAGGAACAAAGTGATTTTCAGAGCGGCAGCGGTGGACAGCAGAAGATTAAAACTTGACCTTAGACCTACTGCAGATTTAATCCTAATAATACACAATAAATTAATATAAATGCATATGAACACACATGTTCACTATCCCCAAAAACATTCAACTTGAGGAATTGTTATAAACAGAATGCAATTAATACTTTACATTATAAAAGGCTTTTTATCTTTCATTGCACACAACTCACCTGAGACAATGAGACATATCTGGAGCCGTCTAATTCATTTTTGGTTTGCTTTTAAACCAAGACTAAACAATTTTCATTGTTTCAATTCAATTCTGGTTTCATTTATCCTATCCTGTTACAACAACAACAAATTCAATCTAAGCACAGGAGCTGCTTCTCATCTTCTATATTTCTTTGCAGCCACGGAGTCGTGTTGGGTCAAACTTAACTATTGAATCCCGTTTATCACATAAATCAAACCTGACAAGGGATTTTAAATACGTGTGTCCAAACCAAATATAAATGACATGCTGAGCGCTACCCACTACAATATTATGTGTGCCGGGTGCATGAACATAACGCATAGACGCACAGCCGCGGGAGTATAAACCAAGCTGAAAGTGGGGTATCCATGTTTAGCGTCTGTGTGGGTTTAAACCCCGGTTTTCTTCATGTCAGAGAGGAATGGAGGTATGAGGAGGTGGCTGTAGTTCAAGAGAAATGTACGCCGAGGTTCTGTATAGATCACATACGTTGTGTCATAAATAAATATTTTGAACCGCTTTAAAAGCACCTGAAGCCTTTTGAAGGCATGCTCTGTATCAAACTATTCACTGTGGGTTTTATTTACTATGTAAACGCTGGTCTTTTTCTATTTCTCCACTTCATGGAAGACAAATCCATCTCTTCGAATATATTAATAGTGCACAGGACTTATGTTGGTGGTAGATAAAGCACCAAGTACCGATCATTTCTCCTTTAGCTTCCTGCCTACATTTACATTCCCCTCATTGAAGAACCGCAGAGGGGTCCCTCACTTTGTAGAAACCGCAGCCAGCGAAGCCACTCAAAGAGCTAAGAATACTCTGGGAATAATTCTCCAATTGCTCATGGTTTCTTAGAGGGCAAGGCACACTACTGTTGTGCGTGACCTATTTTTCAAAACTCATCTCCCAAAATGTAGAGCTGCAGCTGCTGGTTCAGAGCAGTTCACTTTTCAAACCGCCCCCCCCCTGTCAATCATGCACATGGGTGTCACATTTACCTGGGGCATTTTTTCTTGACTTGCCTGCTTTGACGCTGTGTTTCACGTTTAAAGAGAAAACAGGAACAGAGAAAACAAACACTGCGTAGCGGGAACACACGACTGCTTCACTGCCAGGAATGAGGCCGTAAGTGGCATCTGTCCCTGAGCTCCGGTTCAGGGCTCCCACTAAAAACAGAGTTCTGAGCAGTCAGCGCTGGGGAGGAGAGGGACGCCCCTGGATGAAGGGGAGGGCTGGGACAGTGGTGAACCACAGAGTGAAGCACGCCACTTGATGCTGAGGCCAGGCGGCACGACATCACAGGGAGAAAAAAAACACGCTGGCCCCCAAGACACCACTGATTCACTTCAAATGGCAGGCTTCCCCACGCAGCGAGAGCCTGCACGCCGGACACCCGCAAGGAGCGCTTGGCTGACCAAATTACCCCCTCAACAGCGTGGAAACCCAATCTGTGTCACTGCAGAGGTTTTTGCCATCTAGTCAGCAGTTCTTCAAGAGTTCTTAATGTTTCGGGGTTCTAACTTACAATGACTCACGTTGTGACTCAAGCATGTTGCAACACGCAGGGACTTACTTTTAGGAAGTTACTTTTTTCCACTGCTGGTTTTAAGAGCAAGTAAACACACGACTGCAAGAAGTAAATTTGCAATGAGGAAAAGGTTGATAAGCTGGTCAATTAAATTATGTTCAAAGCATCATCTGATCATGATTTCTGTTGTCTTTATTGCTTTGAACAAAGGAATTCAAACATTTATTAAGAACCTAAAATAAAACACACAAGATAACATCAAAGAAATAAGACCCACGATAAAACCACAGCTGGATGTGCTGTAATCTTGACTTCTTGTCATTTAATTTTACTGCTCAGCTTGATTCAGGAAATGTACTGAGGCAAGTGGTGTTTGCATGTGACAAAAGAACGCCTTTAATATGAGTTGATTAAACCACATTTTGATATTCTATTAGAATGCGCTGATTAGATCAGGAGCTCTCCTTCCTCTTGAGAAGTGACACCACATCCTGCTTGAAATAGCTTCTTCCATCCTCTTGTGTTTCTGTTCTCCTAAATAGGCCTCTGTTCCTGAGCAGAGGAATGTTATGTTGCTGATGACAGCAGTACAAAGAGGGATCAGGTATCTCTCATGGGTTCCCACTGGCATGGAGGATAGTGCGCCTGGCAGCATCGGGTTCCTCTGAAGGAAAAATGCTGCTGCTGTACTCACTCAAGTGGGAGGGTGCATTAGCTTCTCATTAAACCAGCTTGATCCCACAGTAGGTCTTTAGTGTAGACGCCTCTCATACAACATGGGTCATCGTACAGTCCCATCTTAAAGGTTGCTGAAAAAATGTTTTCTTGTTACTTGTCAATGAACATGTGACAAAAGTGAGAAAATTTTTTTCAATGGCAAAGAATGATGTCATAATATGAAATGTTGTTTTTTAGCAAACAGCAAAAACAGTATTGTTGTCTCCTGTTTTGTTGGACAGAGATCCGTAACCAGCTGGTGGAGCAGTTCAAATGCTTGGAGCAACAGTCTGAGTCTCGTATCCAGCTGCTGCAGGACCTGCAGGAGTTCTTCCGCCGCAAAGCAGAGATTGAACTGGAATATTCACGCAGTTTAGAGAAATTGGCCGAGAGGTTCTCCTCCAAGATCCGCTGCTCCAGGGAACACCAACAGTTCAAGTGAGTTTCCCTCTCTGCTGATCAACGGAGGCCGCTAGAGTGTCTGTGCATCCCTCTTTATTATAGTATAATTACAAATTGGAAATTCCAAACTTATTTATTTTCTACTATGTGCACCTTTAGTTCAAGACTGCTGTCCTTTACTGCCGTATGTTTGCTGTTTGAGTGAAAAACATAGGTCAGGTGGGGCCTACTTCATCAGCCTTAAGTGAGACCTGCAGGCTTTCTCTCAAAGCCCAGGTCAAAATAAAGCCCACACATGACTCGCCACCACGCGTTAAGCTTATTTCTATGCTACATTAATAACCAAAAGCAAACTCGGCGACAGAGCGACATTTTTATCTTATCTGGATTTCTCCTACTGGACGGTAAGAAGACATTGTTTAGAGAGATATCAAAGCGAGAAAGCATAACTGGGACATTAAAGTAATGTCAATAAAAATTGGATTTTAGGAAAATGAAGGGGACGTGTGTAGGCCTAACTCATTCTCTGTGGATATTAGGCCCTAGTTTACATGTTTTAGTTTGAAATCAGCAGATTTTTCATATTCATTTCCCTAAATGTTTTCCTGGTTTAAATGTTGTTTGGGTTTTTTCAACGTGTACCAGACCACAGTGATGTGTATGCCAAGTGCCTCTCTTCTCCCCTAAACACTCACTATTTATAACTGTGAGACCCAGCCCTGCTGCTAATCACAGTGTCTTGTTTGATTACAGCGCAGAAGCACACAACAAAACTCTCCATTATGATTATGTACTTTTGAAAAATATCTATCATTACGGTCAAGATCTCTATGACGTCTTCAAAGGTCAATTGGTTCAGCCACGCTGATGAGGATGCAGTTCATTAAGGAAGTTAAATACTTTTAAGTGCTTCACATACAAATTCAATGCAAGCCACGTTATAATCTCGCGCTTAACTTCATAGAAGAAACCTTTGATGAAGCTTTGTGCTTCATTATGTGCAAATACAGCATGCTCTGTATCAGGAAACAGGCTATAGAGATAGAGATGGCTATTAAGTTAAAAACCATTTAAGGTATCCAAGGAGGGAAAACAGTCTTATATATCTCATATGGTTTGTGTTTGCTAGATGGATCTTTGTCACCTTATTTCTGTAATGTTAAGGACTAACAAGGAGGAATTAGTTGTGACAACTTAAATGTTAGAGTGGTCAAACTATCATAGTACATTGTACTGAAATATTTAAAAGTATGTTGTACAATTAAGTACAGTAAGAGTACTTTTACTTTTATCTGTCTTTTCAGAGAAAGTGAAGCCATTAGTGAAGAACAAAGGCAAAAGGCATAACTGGATCTTAGGACGTAACAAATACCATTAAATGTCATCACAGCCATGACCCCGTCTTGACCCATTTAGATTTAATTTCGGAATACACTGACGAAAAAGAGGTGTGCTCAGAAACCTCCACTAACTCATTGGTACATGACTCACGCAGGGAACAAAATTAAGCTCTGCAGCTGCTCAGATCAAGCACCCCGGGCTAACGGGCATGTTTGATGCAGTCTGGAAACTAAACCAGCTGTGATTTGGCAGCAGATCTCCGGCATGAATCTACACCAGCATATATTTAGTTCAACTCCAGCTCTAAATTTTGAAAGTGGTAACAGCAGGACTTTTCAATCGCGACATGAGTTACATTTAGAGGCCTTGCGAACTCAAATGCTCACTGACCTACTGCATGAAAATATTTGTACTCTTCTGCTTAAATAGACCAAAAAACACACAGCTAATACACAATACCGCATGTTGCATGCAGGACCTGTTTATCGGTCATCTGATCCACAAAAGCAGACATGCTTGTGCTTTCTTGCCTTTCTAATATGTTGGCATTTATACGTGAGACGCCAATAACACGAATTGAATGAGAAATGACTTTAGTTATGCAGAATTGTTAAATGTTAATTATAAATGCCAACTATATGGGTTACAGTTATTTTTACAAACCTGGTTTGATATCTTGAGAAATTTGCCTCACAATCAACATTTATTTATGCATAAAATGTCAGGGACTAATGAAAGTATTCATTTTACATTACAAAGGCCACCCAAGCAGACACACGTCTACACATTTCCGCAGTGCATTTGCCTACATGGACAAAACTTTCTGTATATTGAGCATTAAGAAAATATTTGAAAAATATTAATTCACAAATTGTTTCAAAATATGAAAAAGTTCAACAATGTAAAGAGCCAAATTGAAGAAATAATAATAAGTGACAGACCACAAAGGAAGTGTGGGTCAGCGGCTACTACACTTGCTTAACATTTAACATGATGTAATACTCGCCAAGCTGAAAGTTTATGTTACACATCATTCATACCACGCACGCACTCTATTATGTATTAGAATGAAAACCTTTATACTTTTCCCAGCTTAAAGCACACACGGGCTACATTAAATGTAAACTGAGCACTATTTTGTGAAAAGTTAGTTTTTCAAACATAAACATGATTGCCCCTCGTCCCATTAACTCCAGATCTGAGCAGCCGGGTAACCACAAAGCCTGGCAATGAGCTGTGACTCTACCTGCACTGTGCCAGGCCTCCCACTTTAGTGCACAAGCCACCAAAACACCCCAAAGGCCTAAGCAAAAAAAACACCTGTTTGTCTAATAACAACTCTTCCGCACCAGCAAAAACATCAGAAAATATTTATATATAGTAAATATTCAGTCTCTGTATTCCATCCAGTGGAGCGAATCTGAACTGTATCCTTTTTCAGTGACTGTCATTCATTGCAGTAAAGGTCGTTTCCTGTAAACTCAGTTTTGTACTGCAGAGGAGCCCTAGTTCCTGATTTCTACCGTTATTGCTTTAAGGGACATCCAAAAAATGGAACCAAAAGATAGTCATCTTGACCAGGACAGACTTCCATATGTGCTGGATCACAGCCCACAGTCTGCTGGCTGAACCCTCCCAGTGCAGACTCATTAGCACGCGGAATACCACAGTGATTTACAGCTACTGCAGCTACAGCTGCACCGCAGCAACCCGACCAAAGATCATTTTGCTTTTCCACTTACCTCATTTGCCTCAGTGAAAAGACACAGTGAAAGGTTAGCGAGATGCTGCATACTGCGGCTGCTGTGCCAGATAGTGCACCGCTTTCTTTTTCTTACTGCTTCATAGGTCCTGAGAGACAACAGCTAACGTCATTATAATTATGGATCAAGCATTTCAAGGTAGATCATGGACGACATTTAAAATGTACAAAATCAAATTAGAGTGGATTGGTATAATCTGTCTGTCATACGTACACACATATTCACACATAGCACCATTAAAAAGGCAACTCATGCAATATTGATATGGAGAGTAACCTGTCCTGTCTGGGAGAGATAAGACAGGGCTTGTGCTGATGTCCAAATCTGTCTTTTTGTTTGTGTGTGTGTGTGTGTGTGTGTGTGTGTGTGTATACAAATGGGTTTGGGATAAACTGGGGGAGAAAATTGTTTGTTATCTTTACAACACCTGATCTTTGTATAGTATATGTGAATTATTTTAGTTTTGAAGCTGCTTTTGCTCATTTCCATGTGACTGCTCCGTTCATTTCATGGTCAGCATGGCGCAGCTTTGAAAATGTATCGATTCTTTTAGTTTCTTTTAAGAGGAGTGTGAAAGTCAAAATGCAATGGTTTTGTTATGACCGCTGAATAGCTCTTTGATTGTGCTACGTGCACTGGCACCTAACTACAATTGTCACTTTAGTCCCATAACCATGTCTCTTTGCTCAGTAGCTTGGAGGGACAAAGGGTAAAAGGTGAAAGTATTTCTCTTGAGGCTGGGTTTGTTTGAACACGATAGTCCATTCCCTAATTGTGTCAGGCTGACAAGTCCAGCTGGTTGAAGACAGCATGTGCAGCATCGATAGATTAGCTGGTGTGTAGTTTGCTTTTCAGATCTTGTCAAACCCTTCATTGACTACTGTGCTTCACTCTCGTGCAGCTGTGCCTTATAAGATGTTGGCAGTGTGTCTCCTCACAAAAAAAGTGCTAAATGATGTGCAGATCAGTGCTGTAGCATATTGAAGGCGAGCTTAAAGGGGGGGGGGGGGGGGCAAAACAGATTTGAATGGCAAAGCTGGCTGCATGTGCCCACGTTCCCCTTGTCTTTTGAAACGCTGTTTGGCTCCTTCTCCGTTTCTCTGGCTGTTTCATTGATAAGCAGCAGGCAGGCAGTGTGGAAGGGATTAAAGAACTTCACAGAGCCTGCATCATAGGCCCGGGTTTATTAGATGGTGGCATTCAGTGCAGCCATGACTAAAGCATATGTTCTGTATAATGCTTACTAGTTCAGGGTACGCACATTATGGAGACAGCTTGCCATCAGTTTATCCTTCAATCAAAGCTGTACACTCTTTTTTTGTACACACTTTTTTGTTGATGTGTTTATGCGTCTGCACGCTCCTCCATGCATTAATAGATTACACTGCACGGATGCGTGTCTGCGTCACAGAGACAGTGAAGCAGTGCCCAACAGCCAGGCATTGCTTTGCAGGATGAGACAGATGTAATAGGATGCGAGAAAAGCTTCACTCAACTCCTCCTCTTCCTTCTCACTTCTCTAGAGACTCTCAGAGCTCATTGTTTGCCTCCTGCATGTTAATGATATCCTGTGTATAAATACGGAGGGCATGAAGCCATCCAAAAGCAACCCTTTGGAAGGCTTCTAGATTAGTTGACCCACTGGCTCTTAACCGATACTCAGCCTTTTAGGGGAATCATCCAAGAGAAGTTGATACAGAGTAGAAATGAGTTTTACTGCATGCTGAAGTAGATCCTTTGGGCTGGAAAAGCCTCTGCCTCAGAGATGGTGGAAAAGAAGACAATTTCTCTTTCCCATGAAGCAAGTCAAGGATCTACTGTACATTTATTACCATGTTAAAATACATGAGTTTCTGCTGATACACTGGCCTAATTACCAAACATCTGCTCCCATTTCCTGCAAAATGAGGACAGCACTTGAGAAAGAGACGTTGTGTTCTTTTTCTGTTCCTCTTTTCAAGGCTCTAATCCGTAACATAAAAAATATGTACCTAGCATACCTAAGACCGAATCACTATTATTATTATTAAAATTAGTAATGTTTCCATTAATCCTAAGTGTGCTTCTAAGGAAATTTTTGCATTGTTATTGTAATATTTTTAGCTCGCATGGCCATGCTTTACCAAAGTCCTTGCATCTCCTTAGACGCAGATCATATTTAAAAGGAGGGACTTAAAGTTGCTGTGATGAATATTTAAACTAGTCTTAAATTAATACTGATACCTATATGTGACCTACTATAGATAAACATCAGCGAGAAGATTCTTTTAAATGACTTTTCTTGCCGTTCGGTTCGGATTCTGTGCAAAATCAGATGAAATCACGCGGGTTCGCCGGAGCTCCAGCGCACTGCAATGGACGCAGATCTGCTCTGCAGTCTGAAGCTCCGATGGGAGGCGGAGAGTTGTTCCTGAACCAAGGCTTTGCTGGTCAGACCGTCAGACTGCAATAAAATGAGAGGTTTCCTAAAGGGACTGTGGTGCTGAGAAACACTACAGCTCATGTCCACAGAGACTGCTGACATCAAACAAATGTTTTCGGTTTCAGAAGGTAGCTTTCTGCAGAAAATGTAGCGCCAGCATTAGATACGGGACTCCAAACACATTCAACCATCAGAATAGGGCCTATGATTGACCTGAACTGGATGGAAAGCTAAAGAGGATAAGGAGGGAACTAAAATGGACCACTTTTAGGGATTAGCAGAGAGTCAAGGTGCTTATCTGCACAACCACAATTATACATCGAAGAGCTGCATCCCTTAAAGGCAGATAGGTTAGTCAAGCAGGTGCAAAATGAGGGATGGTGACTGATAGTGTAGAAATAGGCCGTCCCATATGAGAGAAGGAGAATATGCTCTACAACAGTATTGTTAGTAAAACTTAAATCCTAGCAATCTTTTGCACACTCGGTCATCTGGGTTCATCTCACCGTAAATTAATGTCCAATTTAATCATTTCATTATTACCTCTTGATTGCAAGACTGAAATGACTGTAATCTCAAATTACCATTACGTTTTTTTGATTGCAAATTAATTGAAAGTGTGTCTCAGGGCACCATTCTCAATGTAACAATGAAAAAGTGGGCTGTAATAAATGGATAGATTATGGTTTTTACACATGCCATCCGGTGTTCTGCCCCTCGCTGATGACACGAGAACAACGTGCCGGAGTTTGTGCTCCGTCAGCCTGATGTGAGTGTGTTTTATGGGCAGAGTTAAGCAAAGGCAAAATGGGGAAAGCACTCCGGAGTAGCTAGATATTAACTTCATTAGATGTGATTAGCATTATGGAAGCTCTGTGAAGGGGGGGGGGGGCTCTGTGATGTTGGTGCTGCTCATCTCTTTTTCTCTAGCGGTGAAACCGTATCCCCCACCCTGCTCTGGCTCTCTCCCTCCTCTCCCCTTCTCTCTCTTTGTCTCACCCCCCTCGGGGTTGGTTGATTGATTAATACTCAGATGTGATCCCAACAAGGCCATGGTTTTCAAAGAATTGTGTGTGTGGTTCTATGTTTATGTGCCTTGTTCTTTCTATTTGAGATCACCTGAGACAGAAACATTTTAAAGTGATTTTGTAGCAATAATGCCTCATGACTTTGTTGATCATTATGGTCAGTTGATGTCGTACTACATCGTAGTATTATTCGGTGTACGGTTGAAGACGGATAAGAAATTATTCAGTTAAGGAAGATATTCACCAAAAAAGAAGAGAACTTTGAGTATTTATACCAGACAGGGTTGTCTTCTTTTGACAGATCATTGTAGATTTATTGTTTAATATAAATCCAAATGCCTTTGTCAATAGACAAACCATACTATGTAAAGCACCAGGGTGTGGAATGTGAGCAGGAGCCTCTGTATGGCCTCACAGAGCTGCTTGATCTCTCTCTAATTTTTTTTTTCTTTTACGCTTCATTAATAGAATATTTAAAAGCAAAGGAATTACTTACTACACTAGTTCATGACAAACTAACAGCCTTGTCTTTTTCTTGTTTTTCAGGAAAGACCAGCACCTGCTGTCCTCAGTAAATTGTTGGTACCTGGTGCTGAACCAGACGAGGCGAGAGAGCCGCGACCATTCAACCCTCAGCGACATCTACATCAACAATGTCATCTTACGCTTGGCTCAGATCAGCGACGACATCATTCGCCTGTTCAAGAAGGTCAGTGGAGCTATCATCAGGAATCAGGAAACATTTATTGCCATAATATGTCAGACATACAAGGAATTTGACTTGGCGGTTGGTGCGTAACAGCAGACAGTACGACAATAGACGACAAGACAACAGTGCACGAGGAATAAAAATAAAAACATAAAAAATAATAATGATAAAATAAAAAATAATGCTATGGGTTGATAGTATAATGCTATGGGTTAGTTTCAAATAAAGGAATAAAGTTAAAAATATTAAAAAATTAAAAAATAAAGTGCACCAGCAAACAGAAAGTGACGAGTGAAAAGTGACAGGCCTGCATAACATGTTAAAATGACAAAACTAATAACAACCAATGAGCTTAAAGATTTAATTTGCTGAACTTTGACCCCCGTTGTTATGCCTTCGCGTTACATGAAGTTGAACTTGTGATGATCAAGGTAAAGCGGCTAAAGTGATGGATTCCTCTCTACGTAGCATATTCAGTGATGTTAGCTAGAATGTTGTGGTGCTGTGAGCTCTGTCTCAACAGACATGGATTCATAAATTATAGTATAACTGTCCTTATTAGCGTAAGCTTCCCTAGTTCATGTAGGTATGTGATGATTGTAATAAATGACAGCTTTCTATTAGGACTGTTTGAGAAGGACCCGCCACATCTCTTGCAGAGTGTTGCATCACTCGCTGGTTGAATCCTCCGTGCTCCTCTGCAGTACACGCTGCAGTCTGTCTCACTTCAGAGCCACAGATGCATACAGATGTTGTTTACCAGCTGCCGGAATCCTCTGTGGCTATTTCCCATTGATCACATTCAGTCCAATTCTTGTTTGAGAATGATTTACTACTCTAAAGCAGTAAAAGTAAAAACAACCGATCCCATCTTTTATTCCTGAGATTATTTAGTTTTTACCTCTTTGATGATTAGTTTTATTTTTGACTCAACAGTAGCACGTCCCTTTAAGCGCAGTTAGCCGATTAGGGCGTGGATAAAAATGTTAACTTGGAGAAAGGCCTGGATTCTGTTTGTGTGTCTGTATGGGATTTGCCTGATTTGTTTCAACAGGAAGTAAATGATATCCCCCCCCCATGTTGTGATGTAAAACTTTTTTATGATCTCACATAACATTACAAGTGAGAAATGAATGCAATCGCATTAACTATGCTGTTTTTTGTGTCGACCTTCCTCAACCATCACAGCTTCTTGTAGCTCTGTTTAGTTAGCAGAGTGAGAGGTGTATTTTCTGTTTTTTAGAACGTGTCAGATCATCACAACGAAAAATTGTGCTGCTGTTACATTTTCCCACCTTTTTCATCTGCAAATAAAGGCTATATGCTTCTCTCCAACACACCCTTTATTAGATTCACAGTTATTTGTTTCTCCAATCCAGGTGTGTCACACGTTCTTTATCACAAGGCAAGCTGTGAATACGTACAGCAGCCTGTGAGGAGAGAAAAAATATTAGTTTACTGGCAGAAACAGAGCTAACTTCACTTAAAATTACATATAAAACTAGAAATAGATAATATATAATATAATAGATAATAATAATTTTTCTTTCTCTTTTATAAATACATTTTTTATATGTATTCGGCTTTGTAGAGCACAAAAACAGACAATAGTTTTTTTTTTGAAAGAAGGTTTCACACAGTGTTGTCACACCTTGTTGCACTTCACACACACACACACACACACACACACACACACACACACACACACACACACACACACACACACACACACACACACACACACACATATGCACACAGGTATCAGATCATAAATGACACATTTCAAAAAGCGGTGGAAAAGTGTGAATATGAAGGCGCTGAAAGTTGCATGTGGCATTGCTCCCCTTGGCTGTTGAACACCAAGTAGTTACGCACCGCAAGTAGTGTGTCATTTGTACAAGAGAGGTACAATACATTCAAAGACAAGAACACTGTAATTGCTTGTACACTTTGAAATAGATTTGTGAGCCTCAGTATTAATTCCATTTTTGTTAGCACTGTTGTCGTTAATTTCATTCATTTCACCATCCAGCCTGGTTCATTTTTTACTCAAAAAATAGTTAATGCTTTTAGTTTCAAACTTTAGATAATTACATTTAAATTCAATCAAGCATACTTAATTACTTAATGTACCTGTTCAGATTGTTTTTTGATGTTGTAAACTCTCTTTAGACAGTTTCCATTGCGTATTTTATGGTTTTGTTCTTTAATTAATTAAAAAAACTTCTCTTGTGTTGTACTCTTTACAGACCAGAAATCCTGATTGTTGGAAGGAGAAAGTTATTCAATATATAATAATTATATAAAAATTATTCAATTATTATATTCACCATGATTGACCAAAGCCATTGTGTCCTTATAAGGGACCAAGAGGTCACAACTAAAGGCTCTAACATGATTTGTTGTGTCACCACTGTTATTTCTGCTTGCGGTGTTTCAGAGCAAGGACATTGGGATTCAGATGCACGAGGAGCTGGTGAAGGTGACGAATGAACTCTACACTGTAAGTAATACACGGCGTCTGGTACTGGCAGATGCCTTATCTCATATATAAGCTCATCCTGTTATCTTTCCTCACTGGCTTTCTGAAATTATATTTCATGTACTCTCTTTTTTTAGTTGTATTTTTCTACCTTTTTTTTCTTTTTACATTTAGAACAACTTTTGCTTTTTTTACTCCCCCTTTTTTCAACTGTTAGGCATCCTGAAGCTGCGTCACATGCATACTAATGTTAAAAGGTGCTGAAACGAAGCATGAAAGGAAGTGTCCTGTCATACTTTATGTTTAGGTAGTTTGGTTTTCAAGAATCAGTAAGACAGAATTATAGAACCATATCAATTAAGTAGTAAATCTCCCATACCACATTTTCTCAGATGTATTTAAATGAGGTGTCAGCAACATTACACTTTCTTGTGTGAACTTCACCATTCCAATAAATTGCATGATAACTGGTAAGAACTTAGGTACTGAATTTGTGATTTCCTGCAGGACACGGTAGATGAACGTATAGTGGCGCTGCACTGAGCGCTGTGCTTAGTTACCCATTGATGGAGGCATGGTGCCCGAAAGCTGGATGAGCTCCAGGCAACTTCAGCAATCTAGGATCTAGCATAATAGGAAGCTGCAGCATTACTGAGAGTGAAGATCCTGTTGTCGTTCTGGTGGCTTGTCGTCCCCACCAAACCTGAAATAAGAGGAGAAGCCAGGGTGTATGAGTAGCCAGCCACTCCCAGCTCTCGGCAAAATGTGTCTGTGAAGTTCAGGTTTTTGAGCTTTTAGCCATTTTAATTTCCGGCTGCACTGACTTAATATCCCCACTGGGATCAATAACGCTTATCTTATCTGTCCAATCAACCTGGAGTCGCATGTCTGCTCTTCAGTCTCATACACGGTTATTCTTCTGTTAACAACATTGACAATATCTCCTTCAGACCAAAGTGCTGGTTCCATTCATTTAAGCATTTGTAGTTCAGTCATTGTTTCCTCAGCAGTATTCAATATATACTTACTACTCCTCAGGGCTGAAAAAGAAATATCAAAGTATCATAGCTGCTGTATTATCAAGATCAATATAAGATCAGATAAGATATTGTCTCTATTTTGCGTGTACCTTTATAGTAAATAAATATAATAAGTATATACATTCTATTGACTATTATACACCTTATACACACACCTCCAGTAGATGCAGCTGAAGCTCAGTCTTTCTGCAAATTAGTTTGTGTCTAACTTCACGTCGAGAAGTTCAAAGTCGGCTACATGAAAATTCAGAGGAAGTTGAAAGGAAACAGTTTCATTGCCTGGCGAGAAACCAGTGTTAGTTTCTCTCTACGCAGAGTAGCAATATACTGTAGAAGTCCAGCTTTGTCGCTGTGGTAATAGACAGCGAATAGATAGATAGAATAGCGATAGAATAGTGGATTTTATTTTATTCTAAATATATTTGACTTCCAGGTGTTTTAACTGCAGCTTTTTTCACTCTGTTGTTCTGGTTTTCATAAGAGTCCCTGCACTGCAGTAAGAGGAGTACTATTTACTCACACACAGAGGGGAAAATATAGATCCTGCTTATGGCGCAGCACTTATTACTCTCACAGGGTTGGAGGTCATTGGATGATTATAGTTGCATGTGACCCAACAGCAAACATGTGATTTGATGAGTTTTTAAAGCTTAGGTGCCTAAGAAGAAATCAAAGCGATGAGATAACTGCAGAGATCAATGTTGTCACTGTTACTGTTGAAAGGACCTCAAAACGATAAGTACAGGGTGACGCAAAGATACAAGTGATGAGGCTGGGAAAGCCAAGAGGGGACGAGCGAGTGAGCTGGAGATGTGACAGCCAAGGCTAGACGACACGCAACCTTCGTGCCCTGGATTCAATTGAAATATTGAAGAATGTCAATTCTATTCAGGACCCCCATAGATTATTGGCATTTTTTTAAAGTAATTAATAAATAAACAAATAAGTTGCTAAATGATGAATTCAGTTATCGCTGCCTCTAATGACGATGATGCTGGCGATGATGGAAAGCTATTGAGTTATTGTTTTGAATATCTGTCATGGTCCTGCTGCAGGTGATGAAAACGTACCACATGTACCACAACGAGAGCATCAGTGCAGAGAGCAAGTTGAAGGACGCTGAGAAGCAGGAGGAGAAGCAGTTTAGCAAGTCCGGAGATCTCAACGTCAACCTCCTGCGCCACGAGGACCGCCAACCAAGGCGCAGCTTTGGCAGGAAAATTGAGAAGATGAAAGAAAAAGTGAGTAGGGGGCAAACTGTGTTGTGCATGTTAACTTATAACGGGCCATAGCTGCAAAGCCAAAACCATCATTTGGGTATTTATGCCAGATTAAGATTAAGTTTGCTCACAGTCATAAACCCACAAAGGATTAACATTGAAATCTGCAGTTCCTCCATCGGAACTTTGTAGCTTCCCGTACAGGCAGCTGTATTTGTAAACCCACTGTGCATGTACACATTTTGACAGACAGACAAAATTAGCGACCATCTGCTGAACACAGTGGCACATTAAGTCCCGCATTTGGCTCAGGACTGAACAGGACAGTGAATATTTGACTTACGTCCACCAGGTGGTCAGAAATGTCTGTCTGATCACGTCTGTGGGATCAAGTCACCAACCAAAGATTATAAACCCGTATGACGTATGTGTAATATTCACAGTTTTTGCATGTCAAGCAGCTTCTCCTGAAGCTTAATGAGAAGGTTTGAAGTAAATGGAGGACCAGCTCTACATTTTGGGCTCACGAGTAAGAGAGGGAAAAAATACCAGCAGGAATATAATGTCAGAAAGTCTGAGTCACAGGAGAAAACTGGTCTGAAAGCAATAATACTCACTGACAAGACAGCATTACTCTGCCAACAACCCAACTCACTTTCCATATTATGTAGATTTCTTCTTTGTATGAAGGTTTCTCTGGAAGCAGACTGGGGCTGGTGGTCTCTGGAGCACCATGTTCTTCAGAAGCACCCATGCATGTTTTACTCTGGATCTTATTCTGGAATTTCTACTCAAACATCAACCTCACATTATCTCTCAGGTGCAAGAAATCAAAAGGCTGTCAGGATGACAGCGTCTCTCACTCCTCAAGCTGGTATTGTTGGAGATGCTGCTTAGTTTGGCAACCGAAAACTATTTATAACACGCAGCATGTCAATGAATTTTCACCCTACTTTTTGTATCTAGTCTTTTGTTGCATTGCTCTTCCTGCTAACAGGTTAAAGAAAGGAGAGAGAAAGAAGGGGAACTAAATGTTATTTGGTTGCTCTTCTTTAGAATTGCAAACATTCCTGCGAATCCACACAAAAAATAAAAGTCCACAGATTGCCTGCTGTGCCCTTTAAATATTTTATTTCAAGGAATCATTTTACATTTCGGGAAACTTTCTGCAACCCGTTTCATGTCTCCTTGGTGGATGTGTTTTCACACTTGACAGGTTTTTTCTGGTTTCGCCCAAAAGTGAATCATAGTGAAGCATAGACACCGAAATGTCAGAATGTCTCTTTGAAGCCACATTTCACCAACCGGATAGTTGCTGCTAAGTGTCTACTGACTAAATCCCAGCTGTGACACAAGTTACCACCTAGAAGTATCTCCAAAGTCCCGCTGCCGTCTCTGCGTCCCGAGGCTGGTCCCAAAGCTGCCTGAGCACACACTCAAACCCGTCCCACTGCTTCCCTTCTCTGCACTGATGGTCTGTCACCTCATCGGCTCTGTCTCTTCTCTCCTCCCCAGAGGCAAGCCAAGTACTCCGAGAATAAGCTGAAATGCACAAAAGCCCGGAATGACTATTTGTTGAACCTGGCAGCAACAAATGCAGTTGTCGCAAAATATTACATCCATGACGTCTCTGATATGATCGATGTAAGTATGCGGCAGGCACATGTGTTTGTTTATATCGCTCTGCTGGGATTTCTGATGTTGATTTAACTCTGCAGCGCTGTGCCTTTTCTCACCATCTGTTCCTGAGTTTCATTCACTCTCAGTCTGTTAGCTGTTTGTTTTCGAGCTGCTCTGTTGGCCCCCATTAATGTATTTGCCATAATGGTTCATTATTAATTCCTGCACAACAAACTTAACACTGATATTCTGGAAACTGATTGCTTCTAAATGAGTGTCAGCTCAGCGCTCTGCTGTTTTTGCAGCTACAAAGGACATTTTTCAGTTTTGACACCTTTGAGTCGTCGTCATTTTGTTGTTTGGGACGATCGTAGCATGTGATTGTTTGTGTTCCTGCAAGCATGAATGCAGTTGATGTGGTCGGCACTGGGCTCTCAGCCCCGGGTGACCTGCTGCCACTCACCCTCCAGGTAAAACGTCTAAAGGCGTTTTCCTTATTGGCCATTTTAGACAAAATCTTTTATAATGTTTTCATGTGAACATTTCAGGACGGTTTGACTTTAAGACTTTATTTGCATTTTAATCTTATTCTCAATAAACATTTCTTTATCTGTTTTATTTTTTTTATCCAGTTCCTCTATTCTATGAGGTTGTTGTTAACAAAAAAGAAGTCAGCTGTTGAAGAGTAATTCTGAGTAACACCAACATGTTGAGTTCCTTCTATGTTGCTTATAAATAATGGATGCTGTGAGAAGTGAGGTTTGTTTGTGCTGTCTGCATGATTAAGTATTTCACTTACTGTACCTGGGAGATAAGTTTAATTACCTACAAAGGTGAAGTCTTTCTAGGAGGTGTAAATAGTTAGCTGTAGCACACAGTACAAAAGACACTAATTATACACAAAAAAACTGTAATTATGCACATAGTGGTTTTGCACACAGTACATACATTTATAGTGGTGATTACATGCGACAGTGGAAGTTAAAGGCAGCCTATTAAAACATGAGCTTATTTGAAATGAAATAAGTGGCATATAAAATATATGTATGAATGTAAATGTGCAGTATTCACCTACAATATGCTTGCAGAGCTCTAATGGCAAAGATATAAAACAGATGCACGTGGGTACTCAACGGTGTTGCGATTAAAGAGTGTATCTAATCTTCCTTCCTTGATAATCTGCTTCCTTCAGGCTGCTGCATATGAACGTGCTCTCACTCAATTTGCTTGTTTAGAAAGAAGCTAATTGGCTCTCTTTAGTCTTTAATCTATTGAGCCACTTTGACTGAGTGGTGCAAATGGGCCTTGTGCACTAACGTGGAAAGAGTACTTCCTCGGTGCTAAAGAGTGTTAAAGAGTTTACACAGTGACGCAATGAGCTGTCAGCTGCCTCAAGCTCCCTCTAAACCTCCTCACTACCATCTTCTGCTTAATTAGGTCACTTCATCCAGCTCGGTATGATTACGACTCTGTGATTATCACTGGTGTCCTACTGTGCTAGCTCCAGAAATTCTGTGAACTTCTATTGCTGAAAGGTGATCTGCAGCAGGATGCAATTCTGGATTTAGTCCATTAAATAGGTCTGAACCTGCTAGAAGGTCATCAAACCAGCCAACTCTGCTGAAACTTTTTGCATTCCTCCATTTAGTCTGATAAATCTATAGTAATTTGTCAAATTACAGGGCAATAAGTGTATGGTACGTTACTGCAGGAATGATGTAGAAGTGTTCAGCACTTCATTGTTGAAGTCATTGTTGTTTTTGGATCCTTGAAACACTGCTTTCAAGGATTGTGTTGAATTCATCTGAATTACTTCAGACTCTATTTTTCAACTACATCCACTGTGACATTTACAGAAGGTTTTCCTGATTATTTATCAAACATGTAATCTCCGCAGTGCTGTGACCTGGGCTACCATGCCAGCTTAGCACGCACCCTCAGGACCTACTTGTCTGCCGAGTATAACTTGGAGACATCACGCCACGAGGGACTGGATGTCATAGAAAATGCAGTGGACAACCTGGATTCCCGCAGTGACAAGCACAAGATAATGGATATGCATAACCAGGTGTTCTGCTCTCCAATGCGCTTTGAGTACCTGCCACACATGGGCGATGAGGTGAGGTGCTCAATATGTTGGGTAGCAGATTTGTTTTTCACTTAAAATCAATGGTCACTTTCCGAGCATTGCGTTTTTTTAAACTTCTTCGGCCTTCCTCAGTGGTGCAGTGGAGCGCCCAGCAGCCTGTTCAAGGACTGAACTCCTGATGCGGCTACCACCAACTGCAGTCCCGCTTAGCTACGCTAAAGATTGAGAATGAAGAGGTGAGGATTTATGACGGCTGGTGTCTGTCCAGCAACCCCCACCTCCACCACCGCCCCCCCGCCCCACCCCTCAAAAATAGCAAGCTCTGCCTCATTTACCCTGGAGCCAAGTAGGAGGGCCACATCACCATCTGTTCTCATTGCAATTTCACTCCAATGACCCTTTCTCTGCAGGAGGCAAGAATATATTAATATTGTCACAGCATCAGCGTGTTGTCATTAATGTTTTCTATGATGTTATATGTGAAATTGTCTATTTTGTGATGAAGAGAGGACTTTCTCATTAAGTGCTACAGACACAAAAGGATGCTCTAATAACCAGCTCCTGTTAGACTCTCCTTTGCCAATGACTCTGCCCCTTCCTTGTCTCCCTGTGCCATGTGCTCTGGATAATGGAGCCCTGCCATTATTGGAAATTAACTATATCTCCGCGCAAACAAAAAGCCTCCTTCAGTAATTTACACTTACAATTTGGTTATTTGCTTTTTCCTTTTCATGTCTTAGTGTAATAGTTACTCCAAGTCTGATACTTGGAAAATATTTGCCATAAAAAAGTGAAATTTGAGAAAAGACTGAATATAATATGATGCATCATATGTCATCTTCTTACTTCTCCGTTTCACCCCATCTGTGCAGGTGAGAAAGACCTTGGATGCCAGCATGCAGACGCTGCAGGACATGCTGACAGTAGAGGACTTTGACATGTCGGATGCCTTTCACCACAGCCGCTCCACTGAATCTATTAAGTCCGTGGCCTCGGAGTTGTACATGAGCAAGCTGAATGTAGCCAAGAGGAGGGCCAACCAACAGGAGACAGAAATGTTCTACTTTACGGTCAGTTCCTGTCAATTTTGATCAGTCTATGCTTCCAAAATGTTAATGGCTATACTGGCCTCCTGTGAACCCCAGCGTTGCTCTGCTTTTCAAAATCACACCATCAGTATTCATTTCCACATGTTCTGCAAATAGAAATTAGATTAAACTAGAACAGATTGAATTTATGCTGATTTGAGCTCTGAATCATTTGACTGGGCTCATGTAACAGTGGTTTGGTGCAGCGGTTTACTCATTGTTGCCTTCTTCTCTCTGTATGTAGAAATTCAAAGAGTACCTGAATGGTAGTAACCTCATCATTAAGCTGCAGGCCAAGCATGACTTACTGAAGCAAACACTGGGCGAAGGTAAGGAGTCGATTCTCGTCTTCGTCCGTCTTCATCTATGACCCAGAAAATCCTTCCACAGCTCTGTAAAATCTATGCCCTCGGGTGATGATGGCCCTGGTCTTATCTAATTAGCAACAGCGAATGAGGTATAGGAGTCTGCAAAGACAAGCATTTTTTAGGAAAGCATGAAGTAATGAGAGTTGATATTCAAATAGAAAACTACCACACTAAAATCAGACCATATCTACGTTGAAGTATCCATTCCTCATTCTGCTTATCTCCATTGGTCAAAGCATTATCTGGTTAGTCTCTATGTGGCGAAGCCGCAGGGAGGTTTTACATTTTCATGCCGCAGGAGAAAGGCTTCCCTCGGCCCCTCCCTTTCCCAGGGGTCTCCTTGTCACCTCAGCCGTGAACAGTTTATGCCCAATCAATCAGCAGGACCAGACGCAGGCCCATTCCTGCAGCTGCTCCTGCATCAGGGGTTCACCTCCTAGAAAAGAGAATCAGGCACAGACAGCTGACGCCTTTCTCATTTCGCTCCTCGGATTGGTTCATTCCTGTTTTTATTTCCCCCGTGCTTTCATGTCTTTGTGATTGACTCTGTGGCAAACTATCATCTGCGTGCTTTTGCATTCACAAACACTCATATTATAGTTGATGTCCCTCTTTGGACAGAGCTATTAGTTTGTCCACGATGGAGCAGCTAAGAGTGTGTATGAACACGACACATGGCGTCCCCAGGTACCACCCATGTTTAATTATTCAGCCGATCAATCAGGGTTGCGCCGTGCTCATTAGCCCCGTTGCTTCATGCCCAAAGTACCGCGTTTGTGTGTGTGTGTGTGTGCGTGGTTGTTTGTGTTCATGACAGAGGGAACAAGATAAGACTGTTGGGTGCCACATGGCGTTTACATCTTACTGCAAGTATTAATGAAAACATTATGTTGAGCCCTGGCACCAGACAAGATGGTGCAGGGATATCTGCCCGCCCTCGTTTCCCCGATAGGGAGTCACCGATTCCCTTGTTCAGTAAATCTGATTCCCACTCAATATCCCGCTATCAATGACTGGCACTTTTCAAATGAATTTAGGGGAAAATCAACTCCGATTTTCGCTTGAGAAAGTCTATGATTTTGAGGTTGGTTTGTCAGAGGAAGGCAGAGGCTATCACTCAAAGGAAGGCTGTCTGCGAAATGTGCTGTTGTTCATTTTTCACATGAATGCGCCGGAGACCCTGTCCATCTGCCAGAAGGATGTGTTGAGAAATGGCTTAGCCTCTGCTCTCTTTGTCCATTGTTGGATGGAGTAAAGAAATAATGTTGGAATGCTTTTGGGAGGGGGGGGGGGGGGTCAATACAGACTGCCTTCCAGTTGATAATCCAGTCACTCCGGGAAAATCCGGGTCATCTTCAAATCGACTGACCGAATGATGACTGTTAAAAGTAGAAACTTAAACTCCGACATATTCTTAAATTACTCAAACAATTTAGCTGACTTTATTTATGACCTTAAATCTTTTTTACCCATGCATATGCGCGTGTTGTTGGAAATGCATCACAAAAGGCTCAGTGAACAAACATCCCCGACATAATACACACACTGCAGCCGCCAAACCCCTTTTCTTTGCTCTGCGAGGGGGCCTGTAACCCCCTGTCCTCTAGGTCCCATGTGGCTTCAGCGACGACTGCTCAATAGCTTCTTTTCTCAATGGTGTCAGACTGCTCCATCCGTCTCTCCCTCAATGGTCATGTTGTGTTGCATCAAACCCTTCAGTGATGGTGGACACTGCTGGAGTCCGTATAATATGTACCACAGAGATTTAACAAATCTCTTTTGTGTTTTTTTTTGTTTCCTCAGGGGAAAGGGCTGAATGTGGAACTACAAGGTATGATGTCCTTTGCCTTTCAGCCATGAAGCACTGGTCCTACAGTGTTTTTCAGATTGTTAGAATATATAAGAAAATGTATGTAGAGAATAAATCGTTAAGTTGCGATGGAAGGAGTGTTTAACTGAAGGTCCGCTGACTTTTGTCACGCGTCATTTATTAAAGACCTTCACAAAACTTCAAAGTTTAACCTAAACTTTTTTTACTGATTTGTTTAAGCTTTTAAGCTTGTTTAAGTTTAAATGTTTGTTCATTCATGCTTTCTCTTACCATGTTTGGTACAGTTTTCAAAGAATATGGTGTGTTTTTATTATTTGTCCATCACTTCACAGGCCCCCCACCCTCCCCCCTAAGCCACAGAAAATGCGGAAGTCTAGGCCACGCTCCATGTTTAACCATAAGCTGTTTAACGGCAATATGGAGACCTTCATCGAGGTACCTCTGGTGGTGTATGTCTGAGCGGCCCCTGTGGAGCAGGAGGGCAAGGCAGCTAAAGCCTTTGCTCTCATTCTCTTCTTCCCTTTGGCCTTCCGTTCCACCCCCTTCCAGCTGCCCGTCATTGTGATATATAACGCCTCTGTTTAACCCCTAATCCTCCTCCTCCCTTCTGCGGTTCTGCCGGTGTAGACAGAGCGGCAGTCAGCTGTCTCCTTATTGCACTCCAGAAGAATTTATTTATTTTTAACCCATTTTTTACACGTTTGAGAGGCAGGAGACAGCAGTGGATCTGCTTTGTCCCTCACCGCACCCAACCCTTCACTGCATTGCAGTAGCTTTCCTATTGCCGGCCCTTGTGCCTTCTTTAACCTCCTGTAGGGTGATTTGTCATCCAAGCTTTTCTAACTCTGTGCTTCTATGTCCTCTCTTCCTCTGCTACTCGGTGGCTTTCTCTCCCAGAGGAAGAAGGAATGCCCGTACCCGCGTTCAGGTAGCTGTAGCTCAGGGCACAAGGGCACTAAACTGGCTGCAGCTTGGGCTCCTCTTGCATGATGCGAGTTTCCACTACTGATAAAGTTTTTAATAACAGCGTCTTATAGTTTGGATGTTTTTGTCTGTTTCTCAATGCTCATACGACTTGCAATAAAATGTTAATGAGGCATTAGTCTTTAATTAATATGCACTTGAACACAAGTTTCTTTATTTGTGGGTATTGATAATTGTTTAACATTTTAGTGACGGTTACTTGTTAATAACATTGCTGTATAAATGTTTTTTTAGCAATGGGTGTATATTTTTGTATATTCTGTCTGAGTTCTATTTACAAATCATTTGATTTCAGGATTCTGGTCAACCAATCCCACTTGTAGTTGAAAGCTGCATCAGACACATCAATCTTTACGGTAAGTCTCACATCACGGTGTTGTAACCACTACCTCTGAGCGAAAGGACAGAAAAAGAAAGCATGCTATGGAGTCCTTCTGAATGTTCCCTCAGCCTCATAAGAAGTGACAGCAGCTATTGGACGAGACGATCCATTTCCACAAATGACCTTAGGTACTGACCTCCTCTGCAACTCTAGTCTCTGCGTCCCTGCCAGTAATTTGACAGGCTCATAACAACAGATCACACACACAGAGTTTTGAAAGTCTCATTTGGCTTTTGTCTTGGTGTAGTCAATCCCCCCCTACACACACACACACACACACACACACACACACACACACACACACACACACACACACACACACACACACACACACACACACACACACACACACACACACACACACACACATGTTTATAACTCCTCCCTTTCCACCCTCACATCTGTCTTTGACTCATTGCTGTAGCCTGCAGGCCTCTCTGGATCTGGACCCAATGAAACCCCAGAAAGCTGATTAGGAACCCTCTAACTGAAACCATATGTTGCAGGGGCCTTCTCGTGGAAAAATACGCATCTCCCTTTATGACTAGATTACATTTCCTGCTCTGTGTTATGTGTTTCCAACGGAGCCGCATGGAGCTGGCAACGGTCACTGTAGCGTAATCTTAGGTTTTATTTCTTTCAGGCTTGCAGCAGCAAGGCATATTCCGCGTGCCGGGATCACAGGTGGAAGTTAATGATATTAAAAACTCCTTTGAGAGAGGTGAGGCAAAAACAAATTGCATCCCCCTCCCCCTTTTCATGTAAACAAAAGACTAAAAGGTTGAACCTACCAAATGTCACTACTGAAAGCCTGCATGAATATCTTAATCAGGAGAGGATCCCCTGATCGATGACCAGAATGAGCATGATATCAACTCAGTGGCGGGGGTGCTGAAGCTGTACTTCAGAGGACTAGAGAACCCCCTTTTCCCAAAGGAGCGCTTCCTGGACTTCATCTCTACCATCAGTAAGTCACGCACAACACAAAAGCAATCCCGCTCACTGGTGAGCCGGTTGGATGGAAAAGAGAGAAAACACACCTTACTGTTTCTTAGAAACTCCGCTTTACTGGCGAGGAGAAAGGCATGCGCTGCAGCATATGGAATCAATCTCACCACCAGGGCTCTCTGCCTGATATTTAACGGGAGAAGGGGAGCGAGTTCACCGCAGAATAATCTCCCTGCTGTTTCTACAGTAATAGTTTGATCACTGAGTGGTGCCCTAGTAGTCTGGTGAAAGACAGAGGGGGGTCAAGTAACAGTTTTTGGAATCTCTTCTCCTTTTGCTTTAGCTCTCTTTGATCAATGCTCCTTTCCAGGATCTGGTGTATATTGTGTTTTAGTTGACTGATGTTAAAGTTTTAGTGGCCATATATAAAAGATTAAAGCAATATTTTTCTTGTTTTTTTTCAGTGTGAACCATAGTTGTTTCACTGGTCTGTGTTTTTTCTTTTTGTTTCAGAGCTGGAATCTGGAGCTGAGAGAGCACATCACATCCAGCAGATCACTGTGACTCTTTCTCGCGTCGTCATAATTGTCATGAGATACCTTTTTGCTTTTCTCAATCAGTGAGTTTGCACGGATTCACCTTGCATTATATGCAACAGTTCCTGGGTTACAAAGACAACCATGTAAAGATGAATACATTCTTTTCACAAAAGTCAGTGAGATATTTTAGTCTTGAGCTTAACTGGAAAATTTGAATTTTCGATAGAGAAAATCCATGTTGAACAAACACAAAAGAATTGAGAGCAAAGCGGAAAAACAAGATGGAAAAATATATTTAAACAAATCTAACCCGCTATTTTTTGCTACATCTGTTGGCAGTGTTTTAGGAGTTATTTATGGTCTCGGAAACTCATGCTTCACTGAAGCACAATAGCTGTCTTCTTAAAATGGATGTCATAATGGTCCTTTTACTAGGTTTGCCCTCAGAACAAAGAGTTTGATTTCATCCACCAGGTTTAATTCTGCTCTGTGCCCCCGTCATTGTTGGAGGGGTTCCAGCTGTGGTTTCACTGGTTAGCCTCCGCTTGTTCATAATATGCAAGAAAATAACTGATCATGACTTCCTCATGTACCACCCAATGATTTGGATTCTGGCATGTGCTGACTAAGTCTATTTGTTTGAGCAAAACTAAGCTGTGCAATGAGATCTAATACTTTATGTCAAAACTTTATTAAATTGAAACCGGACTCTGACTCTGTATGACACGGGTCTGCTGCATAGTTTAAATTCTAACAATGGAACACATGACTGCTAGTGTGTGAATAGAATCAGAAAAGGTAATGAACACGCAGGAAATTATTACGCCTAGGACTTTCAGCTTAATGTGTTGGTTTTTACTTTTTTACTTTAAAAATAGCATGTCCAGCTGGAAAACAAAAGATTTAGCAGCCAGTTGTTCAACATAGTGAATTATTTGGCAACCATAGAGCGAAAAAACCTGCTAGATGTAAAAAGCAAAAGGGAGGTAATAAGTCAGTATTGGTCTCACAGCTTTTTCCATCTGTCCCCAATTGGCCAAACATTCTGGTATTGAAGGTTTAGTAATAACCAAGCCAATGATTCTTGAATATCACCCGAAGTAAACCAAAAGGGAATCCCGGCACAAACAATAAACACTGTTTATCATGTTACCTTTATGTGTTTGCTTACATCTTTAAATACACAATGCTCCCCTTCCCCGCCCCCCAGTCTCTCCCAGTACAGTGACGAGAACATGATGGATCCATACAATTTGGCCATCTGTTTTGGTCCGACCCTGATGCCCATCCCAGACGGGCAGGACCCTGTATCGTGCCAGGCACATGTTAACGAGGTCATCAAGACCATCATCATCCACAATGAACTCATCTTTCCCAATCAACGTGAGCTGGACGGCCCGGTGTATGAGAAGTGCATGACTGGGGGGGAGGAGTACTGGTGAGTACTGGTGGTTAGCAAAATACACTTGTATTATGACTGCGCTTGTTTTGGTTCAGAGAAAAGGGTTTTATTTTATGTATTGTTGTATCATTGTATTGTTCCAACGTCTATTTAACCTCTCCATTGTCTCCCACAGTGACAGCCCCCATAGTGAACCAGGAGCTATTGACGAGGCTGACAATGGAACTGAACAACACACCAGTGATGACGGTCAGTACATCATGTTGCCATGTTTCAAGCGGAGGAGTTGTTATTACGCAGCTATTTCTCTGGGGGGGGGGGGGGGGGGGGGGGGTTGGGCAATGTGGGCCTATAGGGTCCGTTTCTCTGTTTGTGAGATCGGGTCCACGGCAGAGACCTTTGGATCGATTGCCTTGACATTCAGTTCAGAAATTCATGGTCCATGACAATGAGCTGATATTGGTGATCTTTTGACTTTTAACCAACATGTTGACATTTGAGTTCTTCGACAATGATTGTTTCCATACCTCTAAAGGTGGTACAGATACGTTTGTCCCCCCTCAAGAAGAACTAGTAACTTAACCATCAGTTTTTCTTTAATTTGCTAAATACTTTAGACTTTGTGAACAAGTAGCTGTACTTTATGTTTATTACTAATAAGCAACTATGAGCATGCTAACATGCTAAACTAAGATGGTTGCTGCGAGCTAAAGTTATCAAGTTAATGTTATTATTGTGAGCATGTTCGCATGCAGACCTTATTATACAACTAAAAGAAACGCACATACAGGTGCACGGAGCTGCTGGCATTGGTTTTAATCTTCACGCGGGCTATTTTTTTTATTTTTCCTGACAGATTGTGTCTAATGATAATTGTTAGTCGATATCAGAGCAAGCGTAAAATTATGTTATCTGATACACCATCTTTTTAAACGTGTGACTATTTCATACTTAGAAAATATAGAAAATCCAAAAGAGGTTCACATTTTGGCAAAAAGTATCGGATGGATTTTGCATAATATTTGCTGTAAGGCGACTTTGAGGATAAGATAGTTGTATAGAATTACCTTTTCCACTGAGGGATTTTGACTGAAAGATGAGTTCTGTGCTGCAATAGCTTATGATTGCAAAAGCCTTTGTGATGTTTGAAGTTGAGTAACAGTGTTGGCATGCAGTGCTTCCTCCTTGATCTGTCTGTGTGTGTGTGTGTGTGTGTGTGAGAGAGAGAGTCTTTCTCCTCCCGCTTCCCCCACTTGCTCTTTGTTCAGTGTTAGTCAGCAATTCTCCTGAGACTTTCTCCTTTGTGCATTATTTCCCCCAATTATCCTCCGAGCTTTGAATACATAACTGGGCTTTGCACAAAAGCCAAAACAAGTGTAGTAAACAGAATAATATCTATCGTATGCGAAGAGGTAGTGTTCACATGCGTGTTTGTATATTGAGTGCGTGAGGTCAGAACGGGGGGACATTTGTGCTGTTGGTTGCATTTGTAATGAGGGATCCTGACCCTTTCTTTTCTTACTTGTAAAAGACACACCAACTGATTGACTGCTGTAGATTCTGCCGCTGCAGACCTCCGTGCTGCTGTTACGTGGCCTCACGGTCTAAGGTGTTGCACTGTGGTTTGTGTAGCCAGATCAGTTGGTTTCTTCCTGCAGCAGCAACCTTTGAATGAAAGAGAACCAAGATAGTTTCAGAACTAGGAAACTGTTCTGTACCTTTTCAATTGTTAATACTTTAAATCAAATATGAATAAAACATGTTTTTATCTTTATTCACTCCCAACTGCGATTGTCGTCCTCCACATCTTTGCTCCCCTTGGTTCATTTATTTTTCATACTTTCTTGGCAAGAGCTAATTGCTGTCACCATACAGTTGACTCTGGCTGACATCTGCTGGCTGGCTGCTGAAATACAAGACTAGGTTTTCTTTTTAGACTATGCAAAACCCTCTGAATATATCTGACTCGTGAGCTAAAATAGTTATTTCTCATACAGCATGTCTGAACAGTAGTGCTTGTTTGTCATGCAATCATGCGTTTTGTAATTATTGATGAATCCTTTTTCATTATGAAGGATTGTTATATTTTAGCTCTATGTTTGAGGGATGTACAGTGTGAACTGAGTGAGATGACAAACATTTGGGGGTAACATCCAGGAGTGTAAATTGTTTTGCTGATATATGTTTATTTATGTTTTCAGAGGTTGAACAGATTGAGGCCATCGCCAAGTTTGACTACGTCGGACGGACTCCCCGAGAGCTGTCATTCAAAAAAGGAGCCTCTCTGCTACTGTATCACAGAGCATCTGAAGACTGGTGGGAGGGACGTCACAACGGTGTGGATGGCCTCATCCCACATCAGTACATTGTAGTTCAAGACCTGTGAGTAACAGCAGTTTATCTCGTGTCAAGTCATTACATTTAGAATCATCATCAGTAATTGCTGTCGGCATACGCGACGCGTTCTTCTTATATGTGTGTTTTACGCTCACCATCAGTGCCTCTTCTCTTTCAGGGACGATGCTTTCTCAGATAACCTCAGCCAGAAAGCAGATAGCGAAGCGAGCAGCGGACCATTGCTGGATGACAAGGGTTCATCCAAAAACGACGTTCCATCACCATGTGAACAATCGCCAGATTCCAACTTTGGAGGAGTCATGGGGAGGTGAAAAACAAATAAGAATAACACAAACTCGTAAGAGAAGTTCTCGTGAGGGATATTGAGGAGTTTTCCCATCCGAATGTTGATCCCATCTTTTCTCCGGCTTTAGGTCAAGGCTGCGGTCCGACGGAGCCACAATACCACGTCGTCGGAGTGGTGCGGACACCCAAAGCCCAACCAGAGGAGCCGATACACCGCCGAGGGCCGCAGCTTGTCCCAGCAGCCCCCACAAGGTATCCATCGCCAAGGCTCGTGTGGAGAGCCCAGAAAAGAGGCGCCTCGGCACCTTCGGCAGCGCAGGAAGTATCAACTACCCAGACAGGAAGGCCTATCCTGAAGGCCACCCTCTGAGACCGCTGCCAGCGGCCACTCGTCACAGCAGCCTCGGGGACCACAAATCCCTGGAGACGGAAGCGCTAGCTGAGGTAGGGCGGGAAAAACTGAAAATGAATACAGAGAAAGATTCTTTTGATTGAGTTGATTTGATTTGGTTATATGTGACTGTTTGGTGGCACTATGGTCTCAGTACCAATCCATTCATCCATCGTCAAACCGCTTATCCTGCACACAGGGTCGCGGGGGGGCTGGAGTCCATCCCAGCCAACTTCGGGCGATAGACAGGGTTCATCCTGGATTGGTCGCCAGCCAATCGCAGGGCTACACAGAGACACACAACCATTCACACTCACATTCACACATCTATGGGCAATTTAAAGTCCCCAATTAACCTGATCCCCAGTCTCAGTACCAATCCTTTTTTAAATTAAATGTCAGGCAATTGTGGCATAAAAGGGGATTTGTGAGGTTGGTTAAAAGAGAGAGAGAGAGCGCCATGATTCAGCTGTCTAAACCTCAATTGTTCAACACGTACTAAAGGTAATTTCAAGATGATAAGCAGTGTATTAAAATCAGAATACTACCTCGGTTTAGGCTACATTACATTGGCCAAACAAAATATTATTATCATTTATATTGTTATTATCATATTACATAATGAATCATGTTCAAGTCTTTACTTGAAAATGTTCAACAATAATTCAAAGAGTTTTTATTGTCAATTGCACACGCCCTGTGTATTGAAATTCTTGTGCTTGCCTTTTCTGGAAAGCCGACCAATTTTAGAATAAAAATAAAAATACAATATTTACATAAATGTACATGAAATAAAAATAAAAATAAGGAAGAAATGAGGTAAGGGGAAAGTGCAAAACTGAGCAGGTTGTAAAAGAAAAACTTAAATTAAATGAAATGTGTGCAATATAAATTAACAGTACAGTACAAGTGAAATCCTAACAAGCTAACGAGTGCAGACCAGTTGTGAGTCAGGTCCTCTCAGCTGTTGATGGCTCTAATGGCAGTGGGGAAAAAAGAGTTTTTCAGTCTGGTGGTCCTGCATTTGGCACTTCTATACCTCCTGGCTGAGGGTAGAAGCTCGAACAGTCCATGTTGGGGGTGGGACTGTTCAACCCCCAACATGGACTGTTCAAGCTTCTACCCTCAGGCATGTTGATGCTTAACATTTTGGATTTGTGGTTAAAACGCTATGTATATGTTGAATTCTTTGAGTGCTACATGTCTCTCTTACCTGGCTGTTATTTCTGATTGTTTTGTTCTCCTCATCTTCATCTCTCCTCAACCAGGACATAGAGAAAACTATGACGACTGCGCTCCATGAGCTCCGTGAGCTGGAGCGGCAGAACATCGTGAAGCAGGCCCCCGACGTGGTCCTGGACACTCTGGAGCCGATGAAGAACCCAGTTAGCTCTGAGCCTGGCAGTCCTCTGCACACCATCATGATTCGTGACCCGGAGGCAGCCATGCGCCGCAGCAGCAGCTCTACCTCTGAGATGATGACAACCTTTAAACCCACTCTCTCCGCCCGGCTGGCTGGGACTCAGCTACGCCCCCCGCCCATGAGGCCAGTCCGCGCTGCTTCTACGCAGCATCGCTCCAGCAGCTCCAGCTCTTCAGGGGTCGGCAGCCCGGCTGTGACTCCCACTGAAAAGATGTTTCCTAGTAACAGTACTGCTGCTGCTTCTAACATGAATGTGTCCAGTGAGGCTGGAGATAAATCGGGTACCATGTAGCAGAGGTAGGAATGGTGTAAAGCTTCCTAAGTAAGGGGAAAGCTTACTTAGAAATGAGTGCTGGTATGTGAGAAGCAGATATGGATATTTTCCTATCTGTTTTTCTGCCTGACTTATTTCATATATTCAGGAAGCTCGTGAGCCTACAACATGTTACCATGGTGATAAAAGGGTGGATGAAGCTGTCGAGGTGTGATTGCACAAAGTTCCACTGTCTTTGAAACTTGATTTAGTAAAAGAAAATATGTATAGGAATACACACATGTCATATTTACCTCAGTTTCAATAGAAAAAAAATCTGTCGCTGTGATCTCGTTGCAGAGATACAAACAATGCAAGTGAAGCAATACTTGTGTGACATTTAGGAATAGTTTACACACAGCACACGTTGTCCAGCAGGGTTTTCAGTCACTCCTACTGGTGTGAATGAAACGGCTCATCTGGACGGATGATATTTGTGCTTAATTACCGTTTACTGTAGTTCGCAGGCCTTAAGGCTGTACATACAAACTTACTTGAAGTTGCAGTGCTTTCTGTTTGTACTATAATACAGTGGATGTTAAGTAACAGCTTAGTGACATTATACACTTCTGCATGCAGGGTCCGCATGACATGAGGAACACATTGAAAAATGTGTGGGATTTACTCATATGATCATTTGAAGCTTGAGATATTGGTCTGAAACCTCATTTTCTTGAATCAAATTTCAGATTTTAGCCTAAGATAAAAAACATTCCAGCATGAAGATCTCTGGAGTCTGACAAATACTGACCAGAACAGGGCAAGTTCGACATCTTGTGAGTTTGGACTGTGGAAAAACTTAACTAATGCATCAAGTAATATACTGTAGGAACCCTGTGGTAAACATGTACATAATATATAGCTAGTCATTTTTAAAGTGTTGATCTTGTACAGGCTGAAACAAAAAAGGAAAAAGGTTGGCTGTAAATGGCACTTGGAGTAAAGATAATTAAGCACCTTCTTAACGTCTTCAGTAATTAACAGACTTGATTGGTTAAGATTAATTGGAAATAGTTTATGTATGCTGTTAGATTATATTTGGTAATTGTACTGTAGAAAACCTGATTGCTGTTGAACGGACAACAAAGCCTGAATATGTTTTTCTTCGTTATTTGTTTGACATACCTGCCCATTTCTACCCTGCAACTTCCCATCTAACTTGTTTTATTTTTATCATTGCATAAGATACATGGAAAAATACGCTTTGACAGTTCCTCTGTAGACGTTGTGACATACTTTTCTTATCTTTATCGATAGAAAGCTTCATGCTCTGGCTGTAAATTTCCTTGGAAGAAAACTAAATAGAGAAACAGTTTGGAACATTTTTGGTCTATTTTACCTTCTGTCCGTCTGACAGCTCCTGGCCTGAGACCTTGTTATCCGCATCCAAAAGACCCTGCTCGACTCTGCATGTTTGGCATCATGTCGGACTCATATTCCACAGAAGTTTAACAATTCCTGTATGTGGTGCCTTGCCTTGGTAAAATGCACAAATCAAGTAAATATTGGATTTTTTAAGAAATGGTATTGAGAATGATGAATCCAGCTGCTAGTAGTAGTAGTAGTAGCAGTGGCTAAAATGAAAGTAAAAGAAAATACCGCTTGAATGAGTGAAATCCCCTTAAATATTAGCATGGGAATCAGGTTCCATTGTCTACTGCAGTCAGCCAGAACAAGAAGTATTTAAAGTCAGACAGTGCACTCACGTCCTCTGCTGATTACTGCTGGTATCGCTTCTTCTTGTGACAAACCAGTGGATACCGTAACCTTTACGAGGCCATTATGATGATATTACAATCGCAAAGCTTATCAATAAAATGTGAAAAATATAAATATGTTACAAAAAAGCATACGTTAGTGGAAATATAAAGAAAGCACACAAGTTGAAAAAGTGAAGTTATCATCCGAATATTTAACAGGACTGTTTTTGTTTTTTATTTATAGAATCTGTGTAAGTGGAGCAGAAGATTTGAGTGCCTTTTGTGCACAACATCAATTTTTATTGAACTTTTATATTTACTTTTTTTACTGTAACACGTTGTCTATTAGTTCTTTATTATAAACTGATCTTTTTATCTCTACTTTCTACTGCTACTACGTTGTCAAACCACCACAAGGAATACATTGTGTAAGAACGTTCCTCTGATAAAATACAGAACACTCATCATGAAAGGCTTTTTTGTGTTTGGACTGATCGCTGAAGACTACTGTCTATCCGGTGAGGTTTAGTAGAATCATTTCAGAATAATTCTCTACATTTTTTGGTTTCCGTGTGAACTGCCTGTGCTGTGGTTGAGCCGTAACTTGTCGTTCCCTTCCTCCCTTCCTCCTTCCCTCCCTCCTATCCTTCATTGCAGTATTGTTGAAAACAGAGGGACTGTAATGGGCGGTCGTCCTGCAGAGTTTATAAGGCACTCTATGCGCTATCCTTGTCCCTAAATGTGATGATCCCAGACATTTCTTTCCTGGAATATATGCTAAAATGTGTTACACTGTTAGTCTGCTGACATGAGAAGAATACGTTAATAATCAAAAAGGACATCACCGAATTAGAGCAGACTGTCATGTTGTGGGAACCCGAGTGTGAGTTGCTGTTACACTGTTTACCTTCTCTTTAATTGTTTGTCTAGTGGTGCTGTTTGTTGATGAGTGTCTGGTTGGTTGAAACCCTGTGATGTAATGTACACCATACCACTGACTGGATGAGGAAACCCCTGCATCCAAATAAAACCATTATTGCTCTGTGATCTGGATATTTTGAGTGAATTATTTTTTAATTAGTGGGGCCAAAATACCAATCTGGAGTCCAGTTATAAAAGAAAGGTCAATCACGTTAATTGATAAGCAGATAATGTTATGGGAGCATTTTTTCTGTTGTTGTTCATGTTAAATATTCTTAGCTGTTCGTACTTTGGCATAAAAATTCCTAACCCAGGATTCAAATTGGCCTTATGTTGGAGCAGATTTAGACACAGCAGTCGTTAGCGCATAAGCACAAATGGTGCTGCCTAGAGCTCCTATTTGTTTTTTCCATTCAGGACTACAGTGGAAAACATGGCAGCTTTAATGTGGAGGGCAACAGATCTTTATGCTGCTCTAAACGGCTCATTCTAAGGTAACAAAAACACAATATGGCTCATGTTTAGGTTATAATACACCAAGGGAAAACAATTAATACTAATATATGATATTCCGCTTCTGCCAATAGATCCTCCTAAAACAGGGAGACAAGTGCAGCGCAATTAACAGCGGTAACAACAGCAAATATACAGTATATAATGATATGCGGGAAGAAAATGTTTACAGTTCTATATTCTAGTTTTAATGGGAGCTTATCAAAAAATATTATTTTTAAAACCAGGCATCAGCAAATACTATGAAAATATTCTCTATGCTAAAGCACAGTCTGTAGTTCATTCTGTCGCCACATGATGGAGAAACTGTCCATCGATTACCTTTAAAGGCTTAGGAACTAACATTGTGGTGATGGCTTCACAGAGAACAACGTTTTGCATAAATTAGATGATTACATCTCCATTTGAAATTAGCTTTCTAGTTCACTGGTCGAGGAGTGTTTCACCACCAGCTCACGCTGACGAAGCATAAACAGAATTTAATTTGTTTTACCTGAGAAACCTCTGTTCAACAAGAAAATGTCAAATAATCAGTCTAGAAGAGGATACCACCTACTAACAAGTTAAGATCCAATGGAAGTGTATAGTATAAGAAAGAAATTACTAAAATTGTAGAAGGAATTTTAGTTTCCAAGGTGTGTTCTTAAGTCACCATTGACAGTAACTGTGACATTTGTCAAGTGTTATGTTACAGTTGGCAATGAGCATGTATTGATAGCAGATGTGTGGAGTTTTGGTTTTCTGGTTGCCTTTTTACTATCCAGTGTAGTTGTTGTTTTTGTACAGTTAAAGTTTCCTCTCATCTCATTTCTCTCCACACTAATTTTTTAAGTGTAATTTTTTATAAGAAGAAAGTTAATGCACAATAACCAACATTTAGAATTAAGTTGACTGATAGCTGATTATTATTACTATCGTTGTTTTAGTTTCTACAGATATAGCTATGATAGCTATAGTGAATTGTTTTGGTTACAATAATTGTGTAGGTTGTGGAATCCAATATTGTGACATCTCTAGTCCCACTGATTAATTTAACATTTCCTTAAATAATGATCTATAAGGGAAAGAAATACACATAGTCTGTTAGAAAAGAACAAAAACAGAGACATTGATATATCAGTATCAGTTACTGTTTTATTATCGAGTCATGGGTTTAAGAACAATCTTGAACCCTCATTTGATGACTGCATGATAAAAATGTAGAGTTAAGAAAGTGATTTTGTCGCTTTTTCGTAATTAAAAATACTGGGCATACAGATCTTTACAGAACTTACGCTCTAGAAGTTTAAAAAGTTTTTTTAAAGTTTAAAAATTGTTTAAGAATAGTCTTTTAGCTTTTCCTTATGAAAAAGTCGAATTAATACAAAGATGTGAACTTTGAATTTAGAAATTAGAGAGGTTACTTGTAAAGAAACAAACAGACTGCTACTTCTGCTGGCATGCAAAAGAATGAGGCATGACTCATTAATGAAGAACAGATGTTATAGCCTGTTTGAAAATAAGTTGCATAAGCCCTTTCCAGTGACCCTATTTGGCATATTCCCCATTATGATAAACGTGTAACCGGGGCGGCCGTTCGCCTGGTCACAAGGGTGACAACGTCACTTTGGGGCTCTCACCCAAAGTATATCAGTTGTAATGAAAAAGAAAGGGGAGCAGAGAGGTGAAGTTCCAGTTTTGTAACAATGTTTTTTTTATTTACAAGTAGGTTTAATATTTAAAAGAAAAGGAATAATCAATCCAGAAACATTGGTCGGTTTTATGGCAAGATATAATCTATGCTTTAAAAAAGGATTACTATACTGGGGTACCCTACCAGTATAAGGTGACTACTTGAGGCCCACCGGGGCGGGGGAGTGAAAGGGGGCCACCACCAGGTCAAAGGAAAGAAAACACAGCAAATCAAAAAGAGTTAAAACACAGCAAACAAACAAAATAAACTGAAAGGGCCTTCCACCTCGTGAGCCACCCCCTGTAGGCCTACTATATGCCCACCTGCACTGGCATTAAAGGGACCCCCAGTATAGGGCGCAGTAATGGTTGTTCATGTAGGACAAAACAAAGACACTAACCCAGAAAGAAAACAAATTCGCAATTCATAATCAAAGATACTATATAAACCGGGTAACCATAATCTATTTTAAATCAAAGGCAAAAACAGCAGTGACCAGGCTCAGCGTTGCACCACCTGATCATTTCCTGTATAAAAGAAAGAAAAGGTAAATAACGCCAATAAACATTTCACTGCTAAAAAGCATATTAAAACATGAAACAGAAAACCCCTGACATACCTCTAGATTCCGCTCAAACCCATCCGCACGTGGCGAGTGCTGTGCCTATGCCGTGGGAGACCTACAGCAAGCCCCCTCTAGCTCTAGTGGGGCAAAAGCTCCCATTTAAAGAGCACCTGGTCACACCTGTTAGGCATCACCAATTAAGGTGGTGTGGCCAAACAGGCAGGGGGGGGAGGGGAGAGCTCTACCCATCACAATCTACCCCCCATTTTCTGTCGGCGACCCGCCGATAATAAAAAACAAGCAACAAGCAAACAAAAATATAAAACACGGTTTTAAGGAAAACTACTTCCACAGCCTAGGAGTGGCAGAGCATATTACCCGACCCAGTTACCCGAGAAGTTGCAGCCTCTCTCCCGCTTCTCCATGCTGGCACAGGGAGATTATGGGGGTTTGGGTGTCTCCCTGCTGTCTCACGCTGGCTTCGACGAAGAGGCACTGTACTGGATCCTTCCATAGGGTCATCATTATCCACATCCACTGGGGATATGGTGCCAGCAATAGATTCGGCTGGTGCAGGTGGTTGAGGGCAGGAAACCAAGGGCTCTAGCGTAGCTGTCACTGGTTGGGGGACAATCCACCATTCACCATTCGGTTCGCAATCTCCTTCATTGGTAGGTGATCTCCCTTGCTCCCCAGAGTCTGGCTCACTTATAGGGGTGGTTAGTGGGATTGGTCGCAGGAGAGTTCTATGGACATGCTTGATTTTTCCTGCGTCATCCAGGGGTGCGATAGAATACACTGCTCCACCATCAGAAGGGGTCTTGACAACTTTGTACCTCCGGGGACCCCAAATGTCCTGGATCTTCACTCTGCCTCGAGCACTGTTGTCTTTCAAGTAGACCATTTCACCCTCTGTCAGGTTGCCACCAGCCACATGCTGGTCATGTCGTTCCTTCCTGAGGCGAGCTGCTGCTTGGATCCTTTCCTTGGCCCCATCAAAGGCAGTCTGGAGGCGCATTTGGTGTTCTTGCAACCAATCACCGATAGTACCTCCAATTGGTTCCTGAATCTTGCCAAGGAGAAAATCAACAGGAAGTTGGGGTTCTTGGCCAAACATTAGAAGGTATGGTGACTCACCAGTGGTTTGATGGGTGGTTGTGTTGTAGGAGAAGGTAACATGTGGGAGGTAGCTGGGCCAATCTGGCTTCTTGACAGGTGGAAGGGCCTGTAATAGGCCATGTAAGGTCCTATTAAACCTCTCACATTGGCCATTCCCCTGGGGGTGGTATGGCGTGGTGCGTGTTTTTTTTATGCCATAGAAACTGCACAGCTGCTGGATTAACAAGCTCTCAAAGTTCCGGCCTTGATCCGAATGTATTCGGGCTGGCACCCCAAACCTATAAAACCATTCCCGGACCAGTACCCCTGCCACAGTGGAGGCCCTTTGATCACGGGTCGGGACAGCTTGAGTGAATTTGGAGAAGACATCGGTCATAATGAGAACTTGTTCTCTTCCATCGCGAGCACGTTCCAGCAGAGAAAAGTCAATGGCTAAAATTTGATTCGGTCGGGAAGCTACCAGATGGCCCATGGGTGTTCTCACAGCAGGGTATACGGGTTTGGCCAGGGTGCATCGTTCACATTTTTGACACCAGTCCTTGACATCCTTATACAGACCTGGCCAGTAGCACCGCTGCCTTACCAGATTAGTAGTTCTCTCCACTCCTTGATGTCCATGACCCTGATGCAGTTGTTGAAGCACCTCCTCCCGCAGGGAGGCTGGCAGCAGCAGCTGATGAATTTCTTCTCCACCATCCTATTCCACTGTCGCACCAGTTCCTTTACTGGTTTCGAAAGAGCCTGGCGTTCCTTCTTGTCTGGGGGGTGTTTGCAGCGCCAAAACTGAAGGAAGCTTCTCAACACTGGATCTGCATGCTGGAGGGTGGCAAGGTAATCTGGGGTGTGAGACGGAAGGGCAAACACTGACATCTGGGTTACCTGTACTGAAGGGTCAACCTTGTTCATCAGGAATTCTGGGAGGGCGGTTCCTGGAAGGAATGTCCCCAGATCTGGCGGTGTATTGCCATGGTGAGGCTGCCTGGAAAGGGAGTCAGCATTAACATTAGAGCGACCCGAGCGATACCTAATGGAGAAGTCAAAAGCTGCTAGTTGAGCCGCCCACCGCTGTTCTGTTGCCCCCAGCTTTGCAGTGCTCAAATGGCTAAGTGGGTTGTTATCAGTCCATACAACACATTTTTGACCCAACAAATAGTCCCGAAATTTTTCAGCCATTGCCCATTTTAGGCCCAAAAACTCAAGCCTCATGGAGCTGTAATTGGGCATGTTTCGCTCTGCTGGCGTCAGGGTTCTGCTGGCATATGCTACCGGCCTCACTTTTCCATCCTGCTCCTGAGAAAGCACTGCCCCTAATCCACTGAGGCTAGCGTCCACCTCTAGAATGAAAGGCAGAGAAAAATCAGCATACGCCAACACAGGGGCACTAATTAATCTGGATTTAAGGTCCTGGAAGCTCTTCTCACATTGTTCAGTCCAAAGCTCCCCAATTATCTTCCGAGATGCTTTTTTTGTGCGAGCGTCTATCATGTTGGCTACAAGGCGATGTAGGGGGGCTGCGATTTTTGCAAAACCCTCCACAAAACGTCGATAGTAGCTACAAAAACCTAAAAATGACCTTAACTCCGTTGCATTTGTTGGTCTCGGCCAATTTGCCACAGCTGATAATTTTCCTGGGTCTGTGGCCACGCCATCTTCGGTAATCACATGACCAAGATAGTTTACCTCCGTGCGAAAGAAGCAGCATTTCTCGAACTTTACTTTCAGTTTCTCCTGTTGCAAGCGAGACAGCACGGCATCGAGGCGCTTTAAGTGCTCATCTACTGTGGAAGAGAAGACAATCACGTCATCCAGGTATAGTAACAGTGTCTGAAAATGCTGTGCACCAAAGATCCGTTCCATTAACCTTTGGAATGTACCAGGCGCATTACAGAGGCCGAAGGGCATGCGGTTAAACTCAAACAAGCCGAAAGGTGTACAAAAGGCTGTTTTTGCCCTATCTTTCTTTGCGACCGGTACCTGGTTATAGCCGCTTGCCAAATCCATAGTTGAGAACCAACGTGCTCCTGCCAGGGCATCGAGGGACTCCTCTATCCGAGGTAAAGGAAAGGCATCCCTGCGTGTCTTGCTGTTGAGTTGACGATAATCCACACACATCCGTAGGCTTCCATCCTTCTTTTTGACGAGGACTATTGGGGACGCGTATGGACTGCAACTTTCTCGGATTATCTGGGTCTCTAAGAGCTGGTTGATATGATTTTTAACAGAATCGTAATCTGAGGGGGGGATTCTCCTAAACCTCTGTCGCACAGGCACATCATCTAGCAATGGGATTTCATGCTCTATAAGGTTAGTACATCCCAGATCCCCTTCAAATGCCGAAAAAACAGCATGATGTTTCTCAAACATGGACCGTATCCCAGCCTGCTCTGTCTCTGGAACATTGCTAAGATCAAGAGAAGCTAGTGTATCAGAGATGTTTTTCACCTGCCCCGTCTGAGAGCTCATGGTCGCCAGGGTACCCATTCCTGCTGGCTTCCTGGGAACCTCGTTGATGCCTGTAGGTAAACTCACTATCTGGGCCTGGTTTAGCATCCCTAGGGCACAGCGGGGGTAAAGTTTAACATCAGTGTCACCAACATTCACAACTGGGATGTAAGCAGTACCATGGTGCACTGTGACCATCGCAAGAGATACTAACAAACCACCAGGAAGAGCTTCTTGGTTGGCAAAAGGTTCAAACAAAGCCTGGAAAGGTGGAAGACACCTCTGCGGACAGGTCGCGGCCACCAATTTAACTGTCCCCCCGGGTATGTAGACTGGATGTTTCCCCCTCACCCTAGCAACTCCACTGGCACCTGTTGCAGGTCTGGCCCGGCTCTCGTGACACTTTTGGAAAGCTTTCTTCCATGCCTCAGGGGCCTCTTTCACAAGTGAGACATCAAAAAGGGGTGAGGCATGTTGCCCGAACAACTCTGCATAACATTCACGTAATACATTCATGCCTAAGACACCAGGAACGTCAGATTCGGGCAAAGAACCAGGAGGATCCTTAACCACTAGAATCCCCCTTTTGGGAATAACTATACCCATTACAGAAACATCGAGCTCTACATACCCCACATATGGAATGCTAAGTCCATTAGCTGCTGTAAGTTGTAGCCACTGGCATGCCTGGGGAGAGTTGTCAAAATGCTGGTGGAAAAAGGACTCCTTAATTGTGGAGACCATTGACCCCGTATCCAGTAGACAGTCTACCTCAACCCCACCAATGACCACTGCAACATGTGGACAAGGACTAACAAGTTGAGAGAGACACTGTTCATCCACTGGATAACATGAACCTGTAATGGCCCCTTCTGAATCGTGGTTCTGCAAAACAGAGGGCATTAGTTTTCCGACTGCTGATTTTGAGCAGTTGCCCTTTGCATAGGATGCGCCTGGGGGCGCTGTTGCTGAAAAGAGACCCTTGCATTATCGCAATTACGAGCAAAATGCCCTGGCTGCTGGCAGCGTCTACAGAGAACAGGGCCTGTATTCGAAGGCCGAGACCATTTGGAGGGGTTCTGTAATTGCAAGAGGTGGGTGGAAAGCTGGTTAATTTGTTCTTGTTGTGCTTTAAGCATCTCTTTTATCTCCGCCATTTCACTTTGAGATGAGGTACTCGTCTGCTCAGACACCCTTGAAAGGTGGGTAGCACAGATGGAGGGGACGGAAAAACTGCGGGGCCTACTTTCCAGCTGTCTACCTTCCCTCTCCCATCTGACTGCCTCCCCTCGCACATCCAAGAGGGTAACTAATGGCTTAGCACGTACAACCTGTTTTAAAGCTCTGCGGAGATCTGAATCATTAACATGTTCCACAAACTGATCTCTCAATAGAATGGCAGAGTTAGGTATAGCCTGAGGAGCATTCCTCATGATTTTTTCCATAAGCTCAAATAAAGCATGAGAGTAGTCCTGCAACGACTCACCCTCTAGCTGTTTTCTGGAGAAGAAATCCTTCTGTAAAGCAACATAAGACAGTGAACATCCATACACTTCCTGCAGTATAGTCAAAACCTTCTCTGGATCCTCACGATCTTGCTGGGGCCTATACTTGATCTCATCTTTGGCAGACCCCTCCAAATGATCGTAAATGAAATAGGCCTGATCTATGCGAGCTAAATGCCTGGCCCGCATGCTAGCACGGACCTCTTCGACCCATTCTACCACTCCTATACCCACATTCCCCCTAAACATGGGGCACTTCCTTTCTCTGGGGATGTAGAGTAGGCGTTCAGGCGCTGCCCCTGGGAGACCAGCAGATCCAGAGGGGCCAGGGAGTTCAGAAGAGCCAGGAGTCAAGCTTGCTGGACGTGCTTGCGTTGCTGAAAGTTCTTGTGAAAGTTGTTCATTTTGAGCCCGGAGTTGAATCACCAAGTCCCGTAAGTCCAGCTGGCCTTCCTCCATTTCTATAGACTTGGGTGGTTTTGGCACCTGGGAGCCAACAGGGATACAGGTTCCTCTTCCTCTTTAAGAAGAACTTTTGGCCAACTGCTGTTTTTGCCCAAAAAGAAATAAATAGTAAGCTATCCGAAAAATATACACATGGGGGGGTCCTACATAAAGCAACTGTCAGAAAAGTGAACTAGAAGGACACGTCTCTGCTCTAAAAAAAAATAATAATAAAATAAAAAATAAAAAGAGTCCTGCCAGCAACGCCAATTTGTAACCGGGGCGGCCGTTCGCCTGGTCACAAGGGTGACAACGTCACTTTGGGGCTCTCACCCAAATTATATCAGTTGTAATGAAAAAGAAAGGGGAGCAGAGAGGTGAAGTTCCAGTTTTGTAACAATGTTTTGTTTATTTACAAGTAGGTTTAATATTTAAAAGAAAAGGAATAATCAATCCAAAAACATTGGTCGGTTTTATGGCAAAATATAATCTATGCTTTAAAAAAAGATTACTATACTGGGGTACCCTACCAGTATAAGGTGACTACTTGAGGCCCACCGGGGCGGGGGAGTGAAAGGGGACAAGGGGGCCACCACCAGGTCAAAGGAAAGAAAACACAGCAAATCAAAAAGAATTAAAACACAGCAAACAAACAAAATAAACTGAAAGGGCCTTCCACCTCGTGAGCCACCCCCTGTAGGCCTACTATATGCCCACCTGCACTGGCATTAAAGGGACCCCCAGTATAGGGCGCAGTAATGGTTGTTTATGTAGGACAAAACAAAGACACTAACCCAGAAAGAAAACAAATTAGCAATTCATAATCAAAGATACTATATAAACCGGGTAACCATAATCTATTTTAAATCAAAGGCAAAAACAGCAGTGACCAGGCTCAGCGTTGCACCACCTGATCATTTCCTGTATAAAAGAAAGAAAAGGTAAATAACGCCAATAAACATTTCACTGATAAAAAGCATATTAAAACATGAAACAGAAAACCCCTGACATACCTCTAGATTCCGCTCAAACCCATCCGCACGTGGCGAGTGCTGTGCCTATGCCGTGGGAGACCTACAGCAAGCCCCCCTCTAGCTCTAGTGGGGCAAAAGCTCCCATTTAAAGAGCACCTGGTCACACCTGTTAGGCATCACCAATTAAGGTGGTGTGGCCAAACAGGCAGGGGGGGGAGGGGAGAGCTCTACCCATCACAATCTACCCCCCATTTTCTGTCGGCGACCCGCCGATAATAAAAAACAAGCAACAAGCAAACAAAAATATAAAACACGGTTTTAAGGAAAACTACTTCCACAGCCTAGGAGTGGCAGAGCATATTACCCGACCCAGTTACCCGAGAAGTTGCAGCCTCTCTCCCGCTTCTCCATGCTGGCACAGGGAGATTATGGGGGTTTGGGTGTCTCCCTGCTGTCTCACGCTGGCTTCGACGAAGAGGCACTGTACTGGATCCTTCCATAGGGTCATCATTATCCACATCCACTGGGGATATGGTGCCAGCAATAGATTCGGCTGGGGCAGGTGGTTGAGGGCAGGAAACCAAGGGCTCTAGCGTAGCTGTCACTGGTTGGGGGACAATCCACCATTCACCATTCGGTTCGCAATCTCCTTCATTGGTAGGTGATCTCCCTTGCTCCCCAGAGTCTGGCTCACTTATAGGGGTGGTTAGTGGGATTGGTCGCAGGAGAGTTCTATGGACATGCTTGATTTTTCCTGCGTCATCCAGAGGTGCGATAGAATACACTGCTCCACCATCAGAAGGGGTCTTGACAACTTTGTACCTCCGGGGACCCCAAATGTCCTGGATCTTCACTCTGCCTCGAGCACTGTTGTCTTTCAAGTAGACCATTTCACCCTCTGTCAGGTTGCCACCAGCCACATGCTGGTCATGTCGTTCCTTCCTGAGGCGAGCTGCTGCTTGGATCCTTTCCTTGGCCCCATCAAAGGCAGTCTGGAGGCGCATTTGGTGTTCTTGCAACCAATCACCGATAGTACCTCCAATTGGTTCCTGAATCTTGCCAAGGAGAAAATCAACAGGAAGTTGGGGTTCTTGGCCAAACATTAGAAGGTATGGTGACTCACCAGTGGTTTGATGGGTGGTTGTGTTGTAGGAGAAGGTAACATGTGGGAGGTAGCTGGGCCAATCTGGCTTCTTGACAGGTGGAAGGGCCTGTAATAGGCCATGTAAGGTCCTATTAAACCTCTCACATTGGCCATTCCCCTGGGGGTGGTATGGCGTGGTGCGTGTTTTTTTTATGCCATAGAAACTGCACAGCTGCTGGATTAACAAGCTCTCAAAGTTCCGGCCTTGATCCGAATGTATTCGGGCTGGCACCCCAAACCTATAAAACCATTCCCGGACCAGTACCCCTGCCACAGTGGAGGCCCTTTGATCACGGGTCGGGACAGCTTGAGTGAATTTGGAGAAGACATCGGTCATAATGAGAACTTGTTCTCTTCCATCGCGAGCACGTTCCAGCAGAGAAAAGTCAATGGCTAAAATTTGATTCGGTCGGGAAGCTACCAGATGGCCCATGGGTGTTCTCACAGCAGGGTATACGGGTTTGGCCAGGGTGCATCGTTCACATTTTTGACACCAGTCCTTGACATCCTTATACAGACCTGGCCAGTAGCACCGCTGCCTTACCAGATTAGTAGTTCTCTCCACTCCTTGATGTCCATGACCCTGATGCAGTTGTTGAAGCACCTCCTCCCGCAGGGAGGCTGGCAGCAGCAGCTGATGAATTTCTTCTCCACCATCCGGACGGTGAATGCGACGATATAGGAGCCCATCTCTCTCCACCATCCTATTCCACTGTCGCACCAGTTCCTTTACTGGTTTCGAAAGAGCCTGGCGTTCCTTCTTGTCTGGGGGGTGTTTGCAGCGCCAAAACTGAAGGAAGCTTCTCAACACTGGATCTGCATGCTTGTTCATCAGGAATTCTGGGAGGGCGGTTCCTGGAAGGAATGTCCCCAGATCTGGCGGTGTATTGCCATGGTGAGGCTGCCTCCGTGCGAAAGAAGCAGCATTTCTCGAACTTTACTTTCAGTTTCTCCTGTTGCAAGCGAGACAGCACGGCATCGAGGCGCTTTAAGTGCTCATCTACTGGTTATAGCCGCTTGCCAAATCCATAGTTGAGAACCAACGTGCTCCTGCCAGGGCATCGAGGGACTCCTCTATCCGAGGTAAAGGAAAGGCATCCCTGCGTGTCTTGCTGTTGAGTTGACGATAATCCACACACATCCGTAGGCTTCCATCCTTCTTTTTGACGAGGACTATTGGGGACGCGTATGGACTGCAACTTTCTCGGATTATCTGGGTCTCTAAGAGCTGGTTGATATGATTTTTAACAGAATCGTAATCTGAGGGGGGGATTCTCCTAAACCTCTGTCGCACAGGCACATCATCTAGCAATGGGATTTCATGCTCTATAAGGTTAGTACATCCCAGATCCCCTTCAAATGCCGAAAAAACAGCATGATGTTTCTCAAACATGGACCGTATCCCAGCCTGCTCTGTCTCTGGAACATTGCTAAGATCAAGAGAAGCTAGTGTATCAGAGATGTTTTTCACCTGCCCCGTCTGAGAGCTCATGGTCGCCAGGGTACCCATTCCTGCTGGCTTCCTGGGAACCTCGTTGATGCCTGTAGGTAAACTCACTATCTGGGCCTGGTTTAGCATCCCTAGGGCACAGCGGGGGTAAAGTTTAACATCAGTGTCACCAACATTCACAACTGGGATGTAAGCAGTACCATGGTGCACTGTGACCATCGCAAGAGATACTAACAAACCACCAGGAAGAGCTTCTTGGTTGGCAAAAGGTTCAAACAAAGCCTGGAAAGGTGGAAGACACCTCTGCGGACAGGTCGCGGCCACCAATTTAACTGTCCCCCCGGGTATGTAGACTGGATGTTTCCCCCTCACCCTAGCAACTCCACTGGCACCTGTTGCAGGTCTGGCCCGGCTCTCGTGACACTTTTGGAAAGCTTTCTTCCATGCCTCAGGGGCCTCTTTCACAAGTGAGACATCAAAAAGGGGTGAGGCATGTTGCCCGAACAACTCTGCATAACATTCACGTAATACATTCATGCCTAAGACACCAGGAACGTCAGATTCGGGCAAAGAACCAGGAGGATCCTTAACCACTAGAATCCCCCTTTTGGGAATAACTATACCCATTACAGAAACATCGAGCTCTACATACCCCACATATGGAATGCTAAGTCCATTAGCTGCTGTAAGTTGTAGCCACTGGCATGCCTGGGGAGAGTTGTCAAAATGCTGGTGGAAAAAGGACTCCTTAATTGTGGAGACCATTGACCCCGTATCCAGTAGACAGTCTACCTCAACCCCACCAATGACCACTGCAACATGTGGACAAGGACTAACAAGTTGAGAGAGACACTGTTCATCCACTGGATAACATGAACCTGTAATGGCCCCTTCTGAATCGTGGTTCTGCAAAACAGAGGGCATTAGTTTTCCGACTGCTGATTTTGAGCAGTTGCCCTTTGCATAGGATGCGCCTGGGGGCGCTGTTGCTGAAAAGAGACCCTTGCATTATCGCAATTACGAGCAAAATGCCCTGGCTGCTGGCAGCGTCTACAGAGAACAGGGCCTGTATTCGAAGGCCGAGACCATTTGGAGGGGTTCTGTAATTGCAAGAGGTGGGTGGAAAGCTGGTTAATTTGTTCTTGTTGTGCTTTAAGCATCTCTTTTATCTCCGCCATTTCACTTTGAGATGAGGTACTCGTCTGCTCAGACACCCTTGAAAGGTGGGTAGCACAGATGGAGGGGACGGAAAAACTGCGGGGCCTACTTTCCAGCTGTCTACCTTCCCTCTCCCATCTGACTGCCTCCCCTCGCACATCCAAGAGGGTAACTAATGGCTTAGCACGTACAACCTGTTTTAAAGCTCTGCGGAGATCTGAATCATTAACATGTTCCACAAACTGATCTCTCAATAGAATGGCAGAGTTAGGTATAGCCTGAGGAGCATTCCTCATGATTTTTTCCATAAGCTCAAATAAAGCATGAGAGTAGTCCTGCAACGACTCACCCTCTAGCTGTTTTCTGGAGAAGAAATCCTTCTGTAAAGCAACATAAGACAGTGAACATCCATACACTTCCTGCAGTATAGTCAAAACCTTCTCTGGATCCTCACGATCTTGCTGGGGCCTATACTTGATCTCATCTTTGGCAGACCCCTCCAAATGATCGTAAATGAAATAGGCCTGATCTATGCGAGCTAAATGCCTGGCCCGCATGCTAGCACGGACCTCTTCGACCCATTCTACCACTCCTATACCCACATTCCCCCTAAACATGGGGCACTTCCTTTCTCTGGGGATGTAGAGTAGGCGTTCAGGCGCTGCCCCTGGGAGACCAGCAGATCCAGAGGGGCCAGGGAGTTCAGAAGAGCCAGGAGTCAAGCTTGCTGGACGTGCTTGCGTTGCTGAAAGTTCTTGTGAAAGTTGTTCATTTTGAGCCCGGAGTTGAATCACCAAGTCCCGTAAGTCCAGCTGGCCTTCCTCCATTTCTATAGACTTGGGTGGTTTTACAGGTTCCTCTTCCTCTTTAAGAAGAACCTTTGGCCAACTGCTGTTTTTGCCCAAAAAGAAATAAATAGTAAGCTATCCGAAAAATATACACATGGGGGGGTCCTACATAAAGCAACTGTCAGAAAAGTGAACTAGAAGGACACGTCTCTGCTCTAAAAAAAATAAAATAAAAAAATAAAATAAAATAAAAAGAGTCCTGCCAGCAACGCCAATTTGTAACCGGGGCGGCCGTTCGCCTGGTCACAAGGGTGACAACGTCACTTTGGGGCTCTCACCCAAAGTATATCAGTTGTAATGAAAAAGAAAGGGGAGCAGAGAGGTGAAGTTCCAGTTTTGTAACAATGTTTTTTTTTATTTACAAGTAGGTTTAATATTTAAAAGAAAAGGAATAATCAATCCAGAAACATTGGTCGGTTTTATGGCAAGATATAATCTATGCTTTAAAAAAGGATTACTATACTGGGGTACCCTACCAGTATAAGGTGACTACTTGAGGCCCACCGGGGCGGGGGAGTGAAAGGGGGCCACCACCAGGTCAAAGGAAAGAAAACACAGCAAATCAAAAAGAGTTAAAACACAGCAAACAAACAAAATAAACTGAAAGGGCCTTCCACCTCGTGAGCCACCCCCTGTAGGCCTACTATATGCCCACCTGCACTGGCATTAAAGGGACCCCCAGTATAGGGCGCAGTAATGGTTGTTTATGTATGACAAAACAAAGACACTAACCCAGAAAGAAAACAAATTAGCAATTCATAATCAAAGATACTATATAAACCGGGTAACCATAATCTATTTTAAATCAAAGGCAAAAACAGCAGTGACCAGGCTCAGCGTTGCACCACCTGATCATTTCCTGTATAAAAGAAAGAAAAGGTAAATAACGCCAATAAACATTTCACTGCTAAAAAGCATATTAAAACATGAAACAGAAAACCCCTGACATACCTCTAGATTCCGCTCAAACCCATCCGCACGTGGCGAGTGCTGTGCCTATGCCGTGGGAGACCTACAGCAAGCCCCCTCTAGCTCTAGTGGGGCAAAAGCTCCCATTTAAAGAGCACCTGGTCACACCTGTTAGGCATCACCAATTAAGGTGGTGTGGCCAAACAGGCAGGGGGGGGAGGGGAGAGCTCTACCCATCACAAACGCAATACGCAAATGAGGGCAAACTTGGCATAATAATCTCTTTGAACGAGTCACAGCAAACAAAATGATCATAACTTATATCATAACTATCATAACAACCTTAACCTTCCTTGCCTCAAGCTTGGCGTCGTCAAAGTAATTAATTGTGAAATTAAAGTTCTTCATTCTTTAATTAAAACTCCTCGACGACCGCAACGAACAAACAATGAGCGATGCATCATAACATTTTACAATCTGAACAAAACAACATAAACAAAGATACATTCCATTTTTTAGGTTGTTTCATATTTCATAGCAAAAATAGCATAGTTTTACTTTTTCGTAATCTACCCTTCCTTGACCTAATGTGTCTCTTCATCTAGTCATGGCTTCAGTCAGCACACTGCTATTTCAAAAAAATCCTTCATGTTTCAAATTTGCTTGTTGTTATAATGTAATTCGAAATTTGAATCACATTTTTGTGGGATTTCAGTATTTTCCACACTTTCCTTCAATGATGAGTAAAGAGCCCCAAGGACGGATTAATACATAAATGTTGGATGAATCAAACGAGAGACCTTCAAGCCGAAAAATACCTTGGACCAGCTCAAGGCAGAGGACATTGCAACAAAGAGAACATCAAGCTATTTCATATATTTTATTTCGTCTCATCTCAGTGGATCAAGCAGATGTCAGAGTGTCACAGATATCTATTAAATACTTCATATTTGATACTCTAGGCCAATCAGTCATTTCACTTTGATGCATTTACATTACGATTTCTGACCATTTCCCACTTGGAATTCCCAAATTTGGTACATGTTTGAACAAACTTAAATCGTGACTTCCTCAAGCATGAACAATAATCAGACTTTCGCGGTTATAACGGATCACAGCACCTCTGAACCTGACATTTCCAACTGTGTCTTTGATGTGCAGGGATGTAGTGGGGTAGCACATACTGAACTAATCCCCAAAACACAACACAGTTGTTTTCATTGTTGCACACTCCCTTTTTAAATTAAATTACCCAATTACCGAATGCATGACATGCTGCACACGTGTACACAAAAGATCAATTCAATCCTGATGATACAATAATCAAATGCACATAGATTGCACATTGAAGTGATCTTTTTGTTGTGTTATTTATGATGTTTTTCCTGTGGCATTCCAAATGTGGCTTTGTAGCTATTATGTAACTCTGAAGGGATGATTTTGAAGAAAAAAGATGTCTGTACTAAAGCCAGAGGCGTAGATGGTCCTGCATTAGCAATCACTCTTTGCATGTGTGTAATAACCCCAATAATAAGTTCAGGTCTGGCAAGCTTTCATCTTAGAGCTATTTGTGTGTGAAATAGGGGATTTGAGATTGTATCTGTTATTATTGTACCTGTTGTTAAAAGGATTTTTGGTTCTCCAGGTTAATGCAACGACCCCTAAAATGATCTCAACACAGTTATTCATGAGTTTATTAACCCTAGACATTGCTATTGAATGGTGGAATGCTTATCTCAGCTGAATGTTCATGTAAGCTGTGTAATACATGATGTATATTTAGATATTATTCAAGTTGAATTTATTGAATAGAAGACTTAGGTCACAAATACCCTTGAAGTAAAATGCATATGAGCAAGGATTGGAAAGCCAAAACATTTGAATCTCAACTCAAGGTGTTTGCAAATTTCATCTGGTGCATTTGTAGATTCAAAAGGCGAAAAGTGTTATTATTAACATTAGCGTCCTGCTGAGTTAAAGTGATGCACAAGTCTTTGAATATTGTACCGTAGAAGCAAAAAACATAAGAATTGAGCAGAAAGGAACTATTGAAAAGCAGCTACGTCGTTGGTACCAAGCTATCTGCTGTGTTTAATGTCATTGTCTAATTCTGGAAACAATCTGTCTGTTCTCATCTCCCTCAGCTTCAGCCATTGTTATGATCCAAGATGGACCTGTGTTATAACATAGTGGTGGATGACTCACTTGCTAAGGGCATCATTAGGTAGATAGCTTCATGTGGAGGATAGATAAGAGTATTGCACTGATAAGACAGCACAGCACCGTCGTTTGCAACCAGTGCAGATGTTTGAAAATGCCATAAAGGCTCCCACAGTCAATGTAATTATGTGAACCACAGCCTGTTGACTGACTGTTCAACCTTTCAAACTGTGTCTACATGCAAATGTTTCCATTAGCAAAATACTTTTGGTGTGAAATATTTGGCTGGATTTCAGAAGAATTCCCATATTTTCCAGAGGGCGAAATAAGTCAGTGGTTCCAGAATCCCCATTTCCCACTTAAATTCCCCCCCTTGGAGTCATAGTTTAGATTTAATTGTTTAAATCTTGGAGGTTGACTTAGTACATCAAAGGAAAACAAACATTTAGTAAAATAGTGTTTTGGTCTTATGCTATTTTACTCCATTCTATATGGACAAAACAATTTGAATCTTTACATGTTCTTTATGGGTTTGGATCCTTAAATATTAACCGAAGCGTATATATGCTGTTAAAAAAGTCTTGCAAACTTAGCTACACGGGAAAACATTTAGAATGTTCAACATTTACTCAATCTGGGTAGTGATCATCATAAAAGTATTTAGTCTCTTATTAGGCCCATAACGCATTAAAACAGGCAAAACACAATCTTCAATGTTCGTATAATTGAGTTATTCATGCTTACAGCACCACCACCATATTTTTGAAAAATCAACTATCAACTATCAGCGAAAAACTATGCAAAAGGAGCGATAAAATTACATTCAATTACAACACATATTTTGGAAATGCTGAAATACTTAAAAGGTCAAAGAAAGTACAGTGTCTCATATACTGTTATTGTTCAGCTACCAAAAACTTTATTATAAAGTATAAAATAAAACGTAATTGACAAAGGCTTTTGTTGTCCAATTTATTCAAGCATTTGAAAGAAATCTCAAATAGAGATTAACTATACTTTTTAATATAGGTTCTTCTTTAAACATAGAAAAGGAGAAAGAGAATCCTTCAAACCGGATGTAAAGAGCTTTTATTCTTTGTTTATGAATCTGCCCCGCCAGCTCAGCGGAAGCTGTCAAATGACGCGAGTGGCGTCCTGGAGCAGCAAGAGCGGGACTTTGATTTATTCATTGACAAAACCCTTTTTTGATTTTATAAAGTAGCTGCTTTTTTGTTTATCAGACATGGCGCTACAGATTGAAGCAAATTTCCCACCTGGCTTTGCGTGTCTGAAAGTAAGTTATATATTTATTGTCAAACGCGTAGCTAACGTGGCGGCTAATAACTCTTAGCTAACGTTAAATGAAAAACAAAACAGCTTAACGTTACATTAGCTTGCGTTACAGGACATTAACGTAACGCCACATTGATACTGGATGGCGATTGACGTTTTTACTTAGGCTAAAGTGTAATCGGAAACATACAACTTAATCTACTAGTTGCGTTATGTTATGTTAACTACTGTTGAATCAAGTAACGTCACTTACTGAACAGATGCTAATGTAGCATTAGCGAAAAGTATAGCTAACGTTAACTTAATGATCAATGCAACCAACGTTAAGTAACGTTAATTTCTACACATGTAACGTTAGTAGCCTTAAGTAACCAACGTTGCTGTCAACATTGGACTTTATTATAACATCAACGTGAAACTGCCCATTCAGAATATCTAACATTACATTACTTAAATTGAATGTTAAGGAACGTTACGTTACGTTATCGATAAAACGAAACCGGGCCAAACGCATTGTTGCTAACGTGACGTCACCGTGCCAAAACAAACGATGACCAACGCATTCCTAGTAAGGGCTCTTATAAGTTGACGCTGACTTCTTCCGGCTGTATATTATGTATTATGAGAGTGAGTTCAGTGTGAACACACCACATACACACGTGACGACATGATCATATGACTTAGTAAGTAAGTGGTGCTCTGGACGGTTTTCCAGTGAAAGTCCTCTTCTGTATGAATGTGATGTAAACTCCTTCAAAACTTTAAGCCCAATCTTCAAAAAAATGAAATCACAACTTTAAGTATGATGTAATATTACACCTCCACGCTGTGCAAGTCAACTTCTGATTATGTAAATAAAATCTGATTCAATTATATCTCTATTGAGAATTGTCTTAATTTATTTTTGCTAGCAGACACATTATTGAAGGTTTGTGTTGAAAAATGTCATGTTTCTTATATGTTGGTGGCAAATAACTAATAGTTGAACTGTATTATTAGTTTTCACTGTGGTTTTTCTTGTCTGCAGAATGTTGATACCCTGCTTCGATGTCCCATTTGCTTCGACTTTCTCAATATTTCAATGATGACAAAATGCTCTCACAACTGTAAGTAACATGTAAAGCAGGTTTTAGGATTTAGGACGCCATTGTGGTTACACTTGAATCATTTAGAGCAAAAAATGCAGCTGAGGTCATTCTTTAAAAAATGGTCCTTTTGAAATTAATTCATGGTTGAGCATTTGAATATGAGTGGGTACCTTCAAATGAACTGAATATTTTAGCAAGGCTTCTGTGTTAGTATAGTCTATATCATCTTAGGTATATTTTTATGAGGAGCAAAATAACAATTTAATGGTCATACTGACCTGTCTGTCCCTCTGGAACCAAAGACTAAGTTCCCTGCTTAAGTTGAAGCAAGTTTATAATAGTTGAATTGTCTTTATTCATTTGGGTGAAAGACCAGAATTTTACGGTGTATATTATTTTACTATTTACTAGACTGGATGCACTCAAATGTCCAGTTGCAACTGATCCCCAATAAAACCTACCACATGTGGTTTGATACTTTTATTTGAAAAACCTAAATCTTCTACCTATTGGCTGACAAAGTTATGTATAACATGCATATTGTTTGCATTTCATTTACAGTTTGCTCTTTGTGCATCAGAAAGTTTTTTTGCTATAAGTTGCAGTGTCCAGTTTGCAATACGGTAAGTATAAACTTTACTTAGATATATAAGTAAATGTGTGTGTGTGTGTGTGTGTGTGTGTATATATACATATATATATATATATACACATATACACATTCCTCATATATATGTAGGTTGCCATCTCTAGTTAATTGTATTATTTAGAAAAAGAAGACAGGATCCTTCATAACTTGCCTCTCTTTCTTTCAGCAAGCAACTGAACAAGATTTAAGAACCAACCGTTTATTGGATGACTTGGTCGTGAACTTTCAAGCTGCAAGGTAACACATTAGATGTCTGGAAAAAAATCTGAACTGAATGAATGAATGTGGAACCTGCATCAGCAATAGCTGACTGTCAGTACTAACAGGGCTTAGGTATGATAGCAAAATAAGATCTAGGCAACGGCATAGAACAAAGAACCGGTTTTGGTATTGGTTTTGAATTCAGGGTACCAGGACAAGCAATAAACAGTGACCTGACTAAGCTATGCCACTTATTTCTCCTCTAAATCCTGTTAAATACTTGTATTTTTCTGGCTGTCTGCACACCAACTCAAATGAAGAATAAGGATATAACCGATTCCTTTTTTAAACAGTAAACTACAGCAAACAATAGTTCTTTGTTGCATCCCTGCAGTTTGTATTGGCATTGTTATAACAACCGAAGACAAGAACAATTAAGTGCTGAGAGATCCCTTTGTTATTAACAAGATTGCAATATGTCCACAAGGGAACCAGTTTGTAATTTAACAGCATTAGGGAAACAATTGTCATCGCTTTCTTATAATCTATTTCTGATTTAAGGATTTTCTGTAAATCAAATGGGGATTTTGTTTTCATCAGCGGAGGTCTTTAAGGGTCCTCCTTATATTGCACTTTCACAGTATGTAGGCCTAGGGAGCGGTTTCCAAAGCTGGTCTCAAGGAAAGGCTGAGGTCCTTTTTTTAAATTCTCGTTTTTCCTCCAGTGACATTTATCACAGTGTAAAAGAAACACTTCCTTCAGCTTGATCACATGGGTGCACCATTTTTTATCCCAACCGCTGGTATTATTTCATGCCTACTGGTCTAGGGTCATACTCTCTTTCTCATTTTGTAATTCTCACTTGGTGTCCATTTAGTCTCTTTTTAGTGAAAATATAAAACAAAAAAAACAGAAAATGCATCTCTTAAGGGGAAGTCTTGTTTATGAAGTTGTTGTTTGTATGAGTGGCCCTTTTTTCCTTTTTGTTTGTAGAATCCTTTGAGATGAAAATAAGACTAATAGGCTACTTTTTTCCTTTTATCAGAGCCCTTGTCCACAAAAAGACCCTACTGAAAAATCTCAAACTAAAATAAACAGAATTGTACCTTTGGTGAAGTCCAGGCTCACCGCAATATAATCTCTTGAGTGCTGTTATTTATCAGTAAGTTCCTCTTTTCCATCTATCATCTCAATGTTATCACTGAAAGGTCTTTCTTTGAACTGTAGACCTTCCGATTGTCATCGCTCTTATGAATGAGTGGCTTACGCAGCTGGTTTTTCGCCCGGTTTTTAATTTCCTGTTGTGTACCAATGACCCTCTGAAAAATGGGAGTCTTTGGCTTTGTCTTAGAACGTTGCTGCTATATGGCAATTAAACTAGAGGTCTTATTCTACAGCCGACCACAGCGCTTATTGCAGTTGCACACGTCTACTGAATGTTATCACGGTAACCGGCTACCTTGTAGTCTCTGCTGTCCCTCAATGAACTCATTTAATGAGTCAGGAACTTCTTTTTCATTTTTTTAAATTAGCAAAAGCACAATTGCCTTACAGTACATGTTGTTTCCTGGAACGTAGCAGTTTTTCCTTCATAATGGGCCAGTGTTTTCATCCTTCTGAACAGCTGCAGTATACAGCTCTTTTTGTTTGACTTCATTCTCTACATTTATTGTCATTAACATACTGTTTGTGTAAATTTCTTTTTAGGGTTCTTATTGAGACCTTGTGTTGTGTGAGAAATTAAAAAAAAGTGATTATGTGAAATTGTAATTTGGAGTAGGGCTCAACAAACTGTTTAACAGCTAAGATCTAAACTGTCAAAGTAGGCTGCTATCTTTGCACTTACCACGCGGTTCTAATTGTAAAAGATTGTTCTTTATGTTGTAGAGATCAATGTAATAGTCCAATTTACGATCAATTAAGTGCCTAAATTAAGTAGAGGGTATTGATTTGCTCTTGGCTTGTTTGGTTACTACAGGATTAGACCTGGAAGATTGTTTCATGACTAAACTTCTGTGCGCATCATGCTTCATGCCCAAATAGGGAAATATTAATGGGTTTCTCAAAGTCTGGTCTTTGTTTTCTGTAACCAATTTAATCATTATTTTTGTGTCAATTCTCATTACCCCACGTTTCTGTGTGCAGTCACTGCAAACACTTCAGTATCTATTTCTCCCCAACTCCTGGAACCACTGGAATACGTACTTGAAAATGATAAAGAGACACATTTGTTTTTATTTACTGCTTGACAAAAAGCAACTTTGAACTACTTAACTATTGCGTAATGGATGTTAGTGATTTTATTTACAAAATCTACTTATTTTTTACTGGATCTGTAAAATAGCTCATCTGGCAGGTGTTTCCTCATGGCAACAAACTGAAAACTGCTGAGGTTCAAAAGCAGTTAGAACCATCTGACACACTAAAGTGATGTAAAAAACCTGTATGCTCAAATGAGGCAGAAACAGTTACAACTAATGGCGCTAATGTAAAGGGATTATAGTAGATTTTGAATATTCAAATTATGTTGGGTCAGTAAAGTTACAGCAGTTATCATGAGGAGTACATACAACTGAAACTCAAATTGTAATGAAAAGGCATTTATGTACTTTTCATACTTGTTTTGTTCTTTTTGTTTACCTTCTATAAATATGCTCCAAAACATTTTCTGCAATACAGCAAAACGTAATATACCTGCAGGTGATACAAGTGACTCGAGCCTATTTCCTCCAGATCTTTGCAGGGAGAAAGAGGTGTTTCCATATGACTTTGGTGCAAAGCTGCTTTGGCGAATGTGCGCACCTGCTCTAATGGGGACAGCAAGCACAAATTAGTTCTGGATATGGAAAGCGGGACATTACACACCTCATTGGTTCCGTTTTATTGCCAAGTAATGGCCCAGTCGAAATTTGTTTGCTTTCCACATTTCCAAGCCAAAAGTGTCTACTTTTTCTCGCTCTGAAGAGAAGCAGCGAGATAATTGAGCTAGTCCAGTTTGCCGTCTGCAGTATTTATTTACTCTTTTACCTTTTATAGGGGTAAAATGTTTAATTTTAAAGAGAACAAGTCCTTTACACTACATAAAATATGTATGTGTGTGTATATAAGTGGACTTCTTTTTGTTAATGCAACAGATATGTTTTTTTTATCAACATGCCCTTTCGCCATTCTTCTTTTAGGGAGCAGTTGTCAAAAGCAAATTTTGATTCTCCTCCGATGTCGCCCAGGACCCCAGCTCCAGCTGTCAACGGTAAAGCTTACAGAGGCCGGGGCCAGAAGGGCAACAGCTCTGTTTTGAGTCACTTTTTCCAAAAGCGGCCTAAAACATCTCCCACTAAAGAAACCCAGCGAGATGGTTCTGTTGCTCAGTGTGCTGAGCGGACAAAAATACAGACTGCATGCACCCACAATGCAAATGACGCTGACCTACATTCAGCAACGGATCAACCTTCAGTGGTTGTGAAGGAAGAGCCGATGGATGCTGAGGAGGCATCTATCCAGGGTTTGATGTCGGTCAAACAGGAAGCTGGAGTCTCGCACGGTTTGACCACCAAGATTGAGACGGCGCATTCCTCATTACCATCAAGCGACGTGAAGCCAGTGATCAAAGGTGAAGCTTGTCTACCTGTAGGCTAATATCACTGAATCACTCTGAGCTGCAGCTCTCGGCTGACGTTGGGTCAAGGTGGTGTAATCTCCTCCTAATCGGATAGTTAAGAACTGCAGATGTGGACCTGTTGATGAAGATCCAATCAGCTCAGTGATTTTATTATTTTAACGTCCACAACACTGAACTGTAAGCCACCTTTCTTTTCTTTTTTTTGTGACCGGGAAACTGCTTTAAATAGTTCCTGTTCATTCAAGGACATTTTAATATTACTAGTTTTTACTTTTTACAGTAGTCAGTGAACATTTTGTTATTTATCTTTCTCTTGACCACAACAGTTTATTGTTGTCAAGTAAGCAGCAAATAATATCTTGTGCATTTCCCCTTTGCAGTGGAGTGCCCTGTCTGTTCCGTCAGTGTTTCACAGCAGTTTATCAACAAACATCTGGACACTTGTCTTACCAGAGGGGAGAAGAAGGAGAGCTTGAGGAGGTAAAAGAACAACTTCACTAATGACTTGAATCGAAGCTCTCTGCTGCTGTTGGCCTAACTAGTGCTCTGAAGGACAAGTGGGATGTTAAGTCAAATTAAAAGACACTTTATAGCTTTTCAAAAGACTAGAATGATGAGTGTATAGGTTTGCACTGAATGGAATTACTACTGCATTGTTTGTTTAAACTTAAATACCTTTTGTAGTAATATTTTACCTATGTTTTAATTTGATTTTGTTTGCTTAAAATGGCAGAATAACTGAAACTACTAACTACTCATCTTGCTGAAGCCCAGTTCCGTGACTTCATTTGAGACTGATCGTCTCACAATTCTGATTCCTTTTTGGGTCATTTTTAGATCGTAATGTCATAATGAGTTCTTAATATTCTAACCATATATTTAGCCTTTATAGCGTTTATACAAGAAAGGCCCAGACCCCCCCCCCCCACCCCCCTCCCGCCAAAGTGATTGCTGAAATATGCTGTTCTACATCTCTGTTGCAGCTCCCCTGGCACCGCGAGGCGTCCCATGACAAAGCTGGTGTACAACCTGCTTTCAACGCTAGAGCTGAAAAGGAGGCTGAAGGATTGCCATCTCTCAACGCAGGGCTCCCGAGACCAGCTGATCAAAAGACACCAGGAGTTTGTCCAAATCTACAATGCCCAGTGTGATTCCCTGAACCCCAAATCAGGTGAGGGGACTCAGTCCATTACTCCATGAGGGGGATGCTCTAGTTGAGGTCTAGGTAACGTCCAATGAAATCTGGATTTTGTTTCCAAACACATTAAGTGTAAAAAGATGTTATAATGAATGTGAAAAGGCCGTAGTAATGAATGAATTCAATTCAATTTAATTCATTTTATTTTATATAGCCCAAAATCGCAAATTACAAATTTGCCTCAGAGGGCTTTACAGTCTGTACACATACAACATCCTCTGTCCCGAAACCCACCATTGGAAAAACTCCCCAAAAAATGAAAAAAGGGAAGAAACCTTAGGGAGAACGTCAGAGGAGGGATCCCACTCCCGGGATGGACAGACTACAATGGATGCCATGTGTACAGAATGAACAATGTATAATACATGCAATTCCTATGACAGAAATGATTCAAGTAATTGTGAGTAGTGAGCCAGGCGCACAGCAGGACCACTGCAGGGGCAACCACCATCACATAGAACCACCATCCACAGAAGCCTGTGGGGAGGGAGAGCACAGAGACTTTAGGAGAGGGTAATGTTGGTTTACGAGTACAGTAATATGATTAATATCTAAAATAATAATGATGATGATGATGGCAGCAGCAGGCGTCAGCAGGGCCACGGCAGGTGTCAGGACCAGGGTCCAGAAGGAACTACGATCTACGGAGACCTGCTAGGGAAGAAAGCACAAAAAAAACTCCCTGAAAGAAGCTGAATTAGTCATGTGCATTAATAAAACGTGAATTATGGTAGAACGAGAGCGTGAGAGAGGAGCTCGGTGTGGCCTAAGAAGTCCCCCGGCAGTCTAAGCCTATAGCAGCTTAACTAAGGGCTGGTCCGGGCTAACCTGAGCAAGCCTTAACTATAGGCAGAATCAAAGAGGAAAGTTTTAAGTTTTACTTTATAAGAGCTGACCGAATCTGCCCCCCGGACTGAAAGTGGAACCTGGTTCCACAAAAAAGGAGCTTGATAACTGAAGGCTCTGGCCCCCAGCCTACTTTTTAAAGCCATAGGAACAACAAGTAACCCAGCATCTATGGAGCGCAGCTGCCTTGTAGGGCAATAAGGTGTTACAAGCTCTTTTTAAGATACGACGGTGCCTCACCAGCAAGTGCCTTGTAGGTGAGGAGAAGTACCTTAAAATCTATTCTTGATTTAACAGGGAGCCAGTGCAGAGAAGTTAACATATTAGTTCTTAGTGCTGCAGCATTCTGAATCAACTGGAGAGGCTTAAGAGATTTACAAGAGCAGCCCGATAACAAAGAATTACAGTAGTCCAGTCTGGAAGTGACAAACACATGAACTCATTTTTCTGCATCACTCTGAGACAGGAAGTTCCTGATTTTTGATATGTTACGTAAATGAAAATAGGCAGTCCTTGAAGTCTTCTTTATATGCGAGTTGAAGGTCATATCCTGGTCGAAGAGAACTCCCAGATTCCTGATGGTGCTGCTGGGTACCAGAGCAATTCCATCCATATAAACTGTATCACGTGACAGCTGGCTTCGAAGGCGCTCTGGGCCTATCAGGATAACTTCTGTTTTTTCTGAGTTTAGCATCAGGAAGTTGCCGGTCATCCAAGTTTTGATGTCTCCAAGACATTCTTGAAGTCTAACTAGCTGGTCCGTCTCTTCTGGCTTGATCGACAGATACAGTTGAGTATCGTCTGCATAACAATGGAAGTTTATGCGGTGTTTTCTGATAAGATCGGCCAAAGGAAGCATATAGAGGGTAAATAAAATCAGTCCAAGTACAGAACCTTGTGGGACTCCGTGACCAACATTGGTGGTCTTTGAGGATTCACCGTTTACAAGCACAAACTGGGATCGATCCGATAAGTAGGATTTAAACCAGCTGAGTGCAGTTCCTTTGATACCAATTAAATGTTCTAGTCTCTGCAACAGGATACAATGGTCTATGTTATCAAATGCGGCACTGAGGTCCAGCAAGACAAGAAAAGAGATGAGTCCTTGGTCCGATGCAAGTAGAAGATCATTTGTAATTTTCACCGGTGCTGTTTCTGTACTGTGATGCGCTCGAAATCCTGACTGGAAATCCTCGAACAAAGCATTGTTTTGTAGAAAGTCACATAATTGATTTGCGACTGATTTCTCAAGGATCTTAGAGAGGAAGGGAAGATTAGAGATAGGTCTGTAGTTAGACAACACCTCTGGAGCAAGAGTAGGTTTCTTAAAAAGAGGTTTAATTACAGCTACCTTGAAGGACTGTGGTACATGTCCTGTCAACAAAGACAGATTCATAATATCTAATAAGGATGTGCTAACTAAAGGAAAAACTTCCTTAAGCAGCTTGGTCGGAATCGGATCCAATAGACAAGTAGAAGATTTAAACTTTAAAAATAAAGAAGTCAGTTGATCAAGGTTGATGGAAGAGAAGGCATCCAAACAGGCATCAGGGCCCACTGCTGCATCCAAGGTTCCTACATCGGAGGACAGGTCGGCACTGGTTGAAGGCAGGAGACCATCAATTTTCTCTTTGATAGTCAGAATCTTATCGTTGAAGAAGTTCATGAAGTCGTTACTAGTGAGGTCCAAAGGAATACACGGCTCAACAGAGGTGTGACTCTCTGTCAGTCTGGCTACAGTGCTGAAGAGAAACCTGGAGTTGTTTTTATTTTTCTCTATTAATGATGAGTAATAAGATGCTCTTGCGTTACGGAGAGCCTTCTTATATGTTTTAAGGCTGTCTTGCCAAACTAGCCTAGATCCTTCTGATTTGGTGGAACGCCATAATTGTTCAAGTTTCCGCGCAGTTTGCCTTAGGTTCCGTGTTTGAGGGTTATACCACGGAGCAGACTTCCTTCTTGTTGCTATTCTTCTTTCCAGAGGAGCAATAGCGTCCAGCGCCACTCTCAAAGAGCCTGTAGCAGTATCGACAAAATTATCGATCTGGGACGGAGTGAAGTTCTAACAGGAGTCTTCTTGTATCTTGAGGCAGGGCACTGAACTTAGAGCAGAAGGAATGGCTTCTTTAAATGAGGCTACAGCGGTATCCGATAAGCGTCGACTGTAGAAACCTTTGGCAGGAGGAGGTGGTTCTGATAGTAGAAATTCAAAGGTTATCAGACAATGGTCTGACAGGAGAGGGTTCTGTGGAAAAATTGTTAAATGTTCAATCCCAATCCCATACACAAGAACCAAGTCCAGAGTGTGGTTAAAACAGTGAGTTGGTTTATTTACACACTGACAGAAACCAATTGAATCTAACAATGAAAGGAATGCAGTACTAAGGCTGTCGTTGTCGACATCCACATGAATGTTAAAGTCACCCACAATAATTACGAATGAACCGGTGTGGGCTGCCCTTTCTTTCTGCCCGTGGAACGTCATCCACAAAGTTTTTACCATAACAAGTCCTCAAGAGCTGCACAATTATATGATAAAAGGCATCTTGACTTGTTGACGAGGAAACACACAATTCTTTTCTAATTTATATTTTTCATGAAACCAGAACATGTGTGATTGTTGTGCACATTTGGTACAACATTTTTTTTTTTTTTTTTTTTATTGGCTTCCTCTGGATTTACCTCAATTTTAAACAGTGACCCGGGGGGTCAAAAGCCTTAGTGTTTGTTGGAAGAATTCACAAAAATTAATAAAATAAAGTATTTTTTCCCCTCTGTCAACAGCTGAAGATATTGCCAAAGAGTTGGAGGCCAATGAGAAGATTAAGAATCAACTGCAAGGGAAAGCCAAACCTGTGTGTATTAAAAACTTGATGGAATATACATGAATTGTACAGCACCAAATGCACTGAAAGTGATGAATGTAGCTTCACATTTCATGCCCATAAATTGATGCTCCTGTTTCTTCCTCTGGTTTCAGAATGCAAATGCCAACACCACAGAAGTGGCAGTAATCTAGACTCTAGTTGAAATTCTAGGGAATACCAAAACTCTTGTACAGGGATGTTGCAGAGTTAAGCTGCACTTACCTCATAAACCATGTTTGCCCTGCAGAGAGCTCACAAACCAGCCGGCAGGTCACAAACAGAAATATCGTGCTGCTAGCGACCATGTAACCAAGTGCCAGCGTTGTTTTTCATTTGAACTTGAAAAGGTGACGGTAGTGGTAGTTTTAATAATTATATATGTATATGTTTTTTAAATATCTACAATACTTACATAACAGCTTAGGTGACTGTGTCCACCTCAGATACTTTCAGTGCGTTTGGGTCTCATAATCCCTTTTCCTCTTAAAAAATGTACCTTGAGCAGTTATGTTTTTTTTTATATATATATATATATATATCTTTCTAACCGCTGGGAAATTATGTTTTCATGAGGGCTCGTCCCTATTTTGACATGGTGGGAGGTATGCATTGCACTCACTGCGTGTTGATTTAAATGTCAAAGCTTTGATCATTTAAACCAAGCAGTCGGGTAATTCCTTCACAAATGTTGTCATTTGTTTTTCATTGATGGTTAATGCCAATGTATGTTTTTGATCAATTCAAAGGTCATGGTTTTTGTGAAGAATCAGTCCGAGAAGGAGATTGATGAGATGCATTCAAATTACAGTAAGTCATTATTTTCACTATGAATCACCTCAGGGGCTCGGCTCACCGAGTTGACATCTAGAAATCCGTTTAAAAAAAAAGTTCCACTGATTAAATGGCTTTTTGTGATTTTACATTCTCTGTTAAAATATGCATATCAATTCTAAAATATGCATGCAAGACACAAGTCAGAACAATTCATTTTCCTTGCAGAAAGTAAAGTAATCTGACCACTAGTATTGCACGCATTTTCAAATGGTTGTAAAAAATACATCATCAAGTGCAATATATTATCAACAGTGGATTAATAGCTGACAAAACTCCATAGACCTGGTGTAAACCACTCAAACTACAAAATAATGTATTACCGTATCCAAAATTCTTTGTGCTGTCGGTCAAATTGCAACACTGCATAATTTCCCCTCTTTATATATTGCCAGTGTACTATACTACTTATTTTACTTCATGATACTTCCTTAATTGATGTTGGGTACTCCACACCTGCTTTAAAATGCCTCCTCACCTGCCTTTACGTTTCATTCATTATTATGATTTCCAAACCGGCATCTAAATGCTGCACAGCTTCTCCTTTTCTATATTTGCATGTCTTTTGCATGCATGGCATTTCTTTACAGTTGCAGGTAAAGGCTTCAGTAATATCAATAGTTATTCCAACTTTTGTGATCCAAACATTTCTAGTAACCCAATTTTGTAAAGGGTTGTTGTAAAGTCCAAAATGATTGAACACAGTAAATGGTAAATCATAAATGAGAATTCCACAGAAGCTTTGTAAAAGATCACAATGTTGGGCACATCCCTACAATGCAGGACACAAGGTTCTCAATGTTTTGGGTTAGAAACTGAAGACTCTGAATCTGCTTAAAGATGAGATATACTTTGTGCATGTCAATGACCGCTTATGATAACGATTCCCAAAGCAACGTTTTTTTGCATACTTTGTCTCCAACACATCTTTATGGTTTTGCATATTCAATGTATTGCCCAGCAGTGACATCCAACTTTATTGTTTCTAGAAGCCATCCATTACTTGCTCTGCCCATAAACCCTTCACGACACTCGTCTCCTGTGAGTAATTCAGCAGCGAGCGGGGCAATAGAAATATTAAATGTACGAGAATCTTTCCTGAGTGAAAATCTTTCAGAAACCTTTTTATTACCATGTGGATACTCACCTATTGAAGGGTCCATCTCAGATTTTGTTGTTCCATTCGCTACGATGAGCTAATTATGTGGATAATTACTCACATGACATACAGGCACAGAAGCACACTGTCCACCAGGGCTGTGTTTTTATATTCCAGGATTCAAGTCAAGCAAAAACGGCAACATTAATTAACATTTACCAAAGTGGTGTTGTCATGGTGGAACCAGATAAAGAGCTTGTTGGAAATAACTCTGCAATGCTGAACTTAAAATTGGTTGCAAAAAGCGTGTGACTCACAATAGGTATGTTCTATAAATAGCTGCTTTGCTGTGATAACCTCTTGATTTATCAAAGGCGGATGTGGATGACTCACTCTGCCAGCATAGTGAATGGTGATAGAGCAGACAGAAGGGTGAATGGTGTTTTCAGCGCCTGATGGAGTCCATTGTAAAGCCTGCTGTACTAGCGACGCTGCATCCCTTCATTTCTGTGAAATATGAAACATTATGAAATCATTTGTAACCCACAAAATATTATCTCATCCTTTCAAGGATGTAAACAAACAAACAAAGGAGCCTTTTTCCGTGTGAAGATCCCACTAGTGTTATTTGTAGTACTTTGGGAGGAACTCCACACCGGAGTTGCCGCAGACATTTCGTGTCTTGCATCAGTGGTGTTGTGCTTCAGATGCAGGAGCATGTGAAAAACCCCCCCAAATATATTCAATCTTTCAAGTCAAAATATGAGGCTGATCTGTGTTACAGATGTTGTTTTCTAAACAAAGAAATTTAAGTTTACATTTATTGTATACTGTAATTCTTGGTAAATTTCCTCAAAACATGTTCTGCAGCAGCCTTTTCGTGGGTAGTCATTCCTTTACATTGTTTTATCTTTGTATCCCTGACCATAAACAAACATATATGTTTTGTTTCAATAGGAACATTGACCACGTGCTGATTCTGCTGAATGTTTAGAAATAATATCCTTTTTATTTAAAACTATTTGACAATATGTCTTATTTCCCCTGCAGGGAAGCAGCACAGCAGTGACTTTTCCCGCCTGATTTCCCAGGTACGGTGTCGCCTGGAAACCAGCAGACAGACTCGTACCAAACAGAAAGTCATTGTGAAAGAAGAAGATGAACAAGAAACGCACTCTGCAGGTACTGCAGCTCCATTCTATCAAGGAATGAAATGTACTCTAGCAGCTGGAGATGTTTTTATTTTCAGTACCCTTCGGCATTTCTCCTGACGAATCCATATATATATATATATATATATATATATATATATATATATATATATATATATATATATTCTTTCCTTCTAGGTCAAGCTGCAGAATCAAAAAGCTGCTCAGAGATGAAGGTGGAAGGCGTAGAATCTGACACTGAGCCATCTGAAAGGAGGATCGAATTGTCGTCTAGCCCCACCTACAGTGACGTGTCCATCAGCAGGTGAGCACTCGATAATCCAGGAGCTCCGAGCTTCTTTTTTCATGCTATAAATCAGTGAAATCTTTGTCGAGGTGGCCAAAAAAATGTTTGACCACCTTTCTACAATTTGAGTACAAGTGTAATTTCATGGTGACACTGATAAAGAATAGTTTTGAACTTTTAACACCTTTGGATTTGGAAAAAAGCACTGCTTCGTCTTGTAACTCTCTCAGATCATACATCTAATCGGTCTAATGTGAAGTGTGAATTTAGGGAATGTTCAAAGAGCAAAAATGACAGAGGTTTTCTTTGGTCATAACCGTCGTCCGCGGTTATATATTGCGTTGTTTTACTAGTGGACGCTCTTTCTGAGATGCACTCTTGGTCTATTTTTTGATGAAAAATGTTACATCTGACATTTCCTCACACACAGTCTCATCTTTTCTATGTGTCTCCGGTATTCACTTTCTTGGAGCAGGAAAGGTTATCAAAGCGTATAAAAAAGGTAAAAATCCAAAGGAGTTAAATTAGTAATCGCATTAAAAGCAAAATGCTTAACATCCAATCACAGTAATGATTAATGAATGCAAAGGCAGTTTCATGAGTTCTTGTCTAGAAAGTAATTTCCGCGACAATTCAGACTTCCGCAAAGTTAATCTTGGTCTACCCGAAGGGTGCTAGAATGAAAACACCTCTGCAAAACAGGAGTTTCTGCACCATTTCTTTTTTTCTGAGCATCACAGTATTTTAGAAAGAACTCTCGTTTAGGGCTGTTACTTGGGAGCAGGCAAATGCACTCTCATTTTTATTGAAACAGCGAATACCAATATAAGTAAAACTTTGTCAGTGACGTATTCCTTCTTGTCTTCGTTTCACTCCCTTTTCCATTGCAGTTCTATTTCTGACATCTTTGGTCCGGAGCCGACCCGACACCCCGAGTAAGTCATTCTGCTTTGGCTTCTTCTGTTTTCGAGGTAATGCGACGATAGCGACATAGATCAAGAACGTGCAAGACAATGTCCTTCAAGAAATCAAATCCCACCTTTTCATAGAAGATGCAATGGTGAGTGAGGAATTTCTCACCGGGGACAACCGGCTGTACACAGCGATACAGAATCAAGTGGAATGTATACACACCAGATCACCATAGAGCAGACACCGTTTCATAAAGGTCCTCAGGTAGCTCGGACAGCTTCTATTTCAGGGATTTCTTGATTCAACAAGTCCGGCAATCAGGCCCGAGTGTGGTTGGTGAAATGGAACTCAGCCTTCACAGTTCATTTCCTATTTACTCAGGCTGTCTTTGTCTAATGTTCAAATTAGTTTGATGATATGCAGCGTTTAAGATGTGTGTGGGCTCACAAACACCGGCCAGCATTCCGGTTCCATGATGTCTGTGCAAAAATGCGTCTCCTCGTCCTTTTTGCTGGTAGCGTCTTCTTCTGCTATTAAACTAACTCGTGTCATTGTTGGGACAAGTACACATAACAAACTAATGTAAATGATTATAATGTGCTTTCAGCATTCCCAGTTGATCCTCTGCTCCTCTGGTGTGTTCTAATTTTTTTGAATGCGGAACAACAGAACTCAGAATAAATATATAAATAGTCACACACACGTGCAAACTACATGCAAGCAAGAGTTTTCATTGTATTATATGATACATTTGTCAATGAATGCCTAATTCATTCATGCCTAAAATATCACATTATTCCATTGCACATTACAGTCTAAATGAAATGTTGTCATTGCCGGTGCCGTATGATGAGTAAACACTCGAGGAAAAAACATTTGTCATGTGAAAAGCTTTGCTGTGACAAAACAACAGAAGCACATAAATCAGAGCTTGATGTCGGCTTGTGTTTCTTGCGGATAAGCAAAGCTCTGCTCTTCCTTTCGTTCTGAATGACCTGGAAGAATCCATTTCCAATGTTATCCCCCTTTGCAACCCTTTTCCTTATATGATACTGCTACACCAGCAGTCAGCGTGGTTACATGGATTCGAATAACTGGCTTAGTCGGACTGAAATCGAATTATCCGTTTCATGTAAACACCTTTGTCCGACTATGTGCGGTCCGACTACGATCCGACTAACACCCCCGGATAACTCGATCCGATCCAGTTGATAGTTCGACTATTGCCGCATGTGACGGTGAATCGGATAAGGAACTGGACTTTGCGTCTTTGCGCATGCTTGAGATCCCGACGGCGTCTTCTCTCCGTTATCAAATCAGCCAATAGCGCCATCCGCATTCGCTTTACTTCTATTAACATCATGCACAAATAGTAGAGGGATGTAGCTTCACCTTGCTCTCCGTTCGCCATCTTTCTCGTAATGTTGATGTTGTTGTTGTTGGTAGTGGTGAAGCGGTCAAGCGGAAATGGCTGTATCACAACTAGTTGTAATGAAAACAGCGGCACCTATCGTATCGGATATGACATGCTTTTGGGCTAAGTCTAAGAATAAGAATACGTTCTCAAAATGGAACTGTTTTTTTTTCTGTCACTGCTGCAAGCTTTTTTCCTTTTTTTTGGGACACAGAATGTTTTAAGTAAAGGATTTTTCTCCTGGTTTGACCAGCCAATTGTAATGCATTTGCTGGCGGGGTGTCGGGCAGCCTGTTGATTGCGATGGAGCCTAAATACATTTTCTATCACTTCAGCAGCATGATAATCAAGTGTCAACGCACTCAGGCTGTTCAGCTCCCTCTGTTCCTGTCAGATAATAGCCGTCTACATGCTAATGTACTCCATACATGGCTACATTTATACACTTCATTGTAAGTGTATAAATGTATGGGAGCAATTAACCAATGATGACACCTTAATTACCTTAACATGATGTGCACATTTCTAATATCCTCCATTCACAATTGATCTTTCATAGAGACACAGAGAGGACCTCAGTCCAAAAGCGGACCTCCAGCATGAGAGGAGACGACGCAGCTTCATCACTCGTCAGTGGGAAACGACGGCGCAAGACGTAAGGATTGGTGGAGGAGGGGGAGGCAGAGAGCGAAAATGATCTCTCACCTGCCAATCAATACCAATAAACTGTTCAAGTTCAAGCCTAACAAGAGGCGATCTTTATGCACATTCCTGTCCAGCATTTCATTTTTCTGAAGTTGGACTTTTCATCATGTGTCATGATCAAAATAGTCAGTATTTAAACATACTTTGTGGTCTTCCATGAGCAATTGTGCACTCAGACATTTCATCGGGCACTCAAGGTTACTCTATTCTAACAGTCCGTCGTCAGTTTAGTTTTTTTGTATACCAATTAGATGCATTTTTACTTTTTGTTTATAGACCTAAGCAAACATTATCACAACATGTACTTCTATCCAGCATTCCAGCGAATTCATATTATTCTATTTAATATAAAACCACATATTGTTTGTTTTTCATTTCTACAATTATTTGTTTTTTTTTAACTTTATTTTTCGCATTTTATATCATGATATATGGTCCAATGCAATACTCTGTTTAAATTTAAATAAACCTGTTATGGCATTTGAACATTTTTTTGGGTTACATGAGCGACCTTAGTACCATGTTCACTATGTGCAAAGCTAAACTTTGTGCTTGTGGTCGAACATCTATTGAATTAGCAGCATAAATCATTCCCAACATGATCATGTGAAGCTGTAGGTGATATTCACATTGTCCCTCAAATAGTTTGGGCAGCGCCGATAAGGAACTTAGTCACAGGTCTTTCCTGTTATTTACAATTGTTTTTTTTTGTTCCATCCAAACAAATCTGTAGCTGATTGATTTGATTTCTTTGCAAGAAAAGTACCACGGTTTGATTTAATTCAAGAAAGCTTGTTATTGTGGACACCCCAGGTCAATGCTGCCCGAGTGTAAACACTTAGTAGGTGGTAGCAGGTGTTGTTGTTTGTGTGTGTGGGAGAGTGAGCAGGAACACATTTGGGAGCAGACCTTGATCGAACACAAATCTCGCCTTCAGTCCCCAGCAAGGCGCGTCTGTCTCGTCGTCTCTGTTTGTCTTTCCCCTCAGACGAATCGACAGCCATTTCTGTATTCATAACAAATTGGCATGCATGTTAATTCCCCTGATTGTATCCTTAATGATGTCCTATACACTGATGCTGTGGAACCACATGAGGTGTAAGTACCTCTGATTCCCGCCCTGATTTGGGATGCAGTGAAGCAGGAAACGATACCAAGCCTCAGGGTCGGCTCCCTCTCGCATAGAAACCAGTTGCCTTATTTCTCTGTGCGGGTGCTAACGTTGAAGCGGATATGTACCGTCCAGAGTGAGGTAAAACTATTTAAATCTCATCATTCATAAGTTAAACCTGGTTTCGACAAAGATTAAGATTAAATGCTGTGAACAACCGTGTCAGCCCGTCTTTTTTACGGTCCAAACCGCCTGAGAGAAGATATCAAATGTTATCGTCATGGTGAGAGATCAGCGTAGATCATCTACGTACACCCTCAGGACCAAGTCGTCTGTATGAATTACTCCGCCGCTGACCACAGGCGCCATTAGGTGGAGCCTCAAAGGTGAAGTAGCAGCAATGTTAACAGCCCTTTTGTGGTTGAAGTCTTTTTGTCCCTCTTAAACAATTCCCAATGGTGATTCATTTCTATTGATCCAGGAATTAGCCAGAGGCAGGCTTGAGGGGGGAGGGAGGGTGGGGGGCGCGCCCACACTAATAGGTAAAGAGGGTTGGCTGTCCAGAGTTCCATTTGTTCATAGGCTCTAAAAAATGTATTTCAGGAAAAGCCAGCAGTGATAGAAACAGAATTATTATAGTCGGCTTCATTTTCAGTTGGTTGTTATAGTTTGTGATTATACAAAATATATATTATTTTCACTTTGTCACTGGATGAAGTTCATATTTATATTTAACATTTCAGATAACACTGATTAAGGGAACTCTTTAGGGACTTGTACCGTATCCAAGAAAGAGGTAATCCGTTGATGGAATCCAAGTTTTATCATTAAACAATGAGAACAAAGCAAACCCATTACACAATATTATATATTTATTATAATATTTTGAGTCTCTTGAGTCATTTTCTGAGTAGCACTTCTATAAATATAGCTTTGTAGGCAGTAGAAGTCAAGTTTGGACACAACTTTCTTATTCAATTGTGTTTCTTCCTTTTTATACATCTGGCAAGTATTCCCATTTGCAGACCAAAGCCGCTCAAAAACATCTGTTTGTGCTTTGACGGATCAATTTGGCTGCAGAGTTTTGTTAAACAAAACAAAAAACAAAACAAAGGTAAATACTTTTATAATACATAGTAAAATGGTACAATATACTCTTACTTCACTAGGGCCACTTCCTCTGGGTCTTAAACCTTTAAACACATCTCATATCTAACTTAACTTCACACTTTATTGACTCTTACATAGCAAGTGACAATACACCGTGCTAACAGCAAAGAATTCTACTTTTGCATCGCCCTTTAGGACGTACCTGACATTTTCTTTCCGTTTCAGCTGAGCCTGGTGTATAGAACACATTTCTTTTGTTTAGGTGCTGTTGATTGTAGGACAACATGCTATGCAAACTCATCCCAACTAGTCAAATCAAATCACATACAGGGTAACAATGTAACAATGTCCATACGCTGATCTGGCTAAAATGTTTCTGAATGAATGAATTTCAATACAGCTACATGAATTTGTAGCTGTATTGGACTCTAATGTAAAGTTAGCAATGATATTCTTAATAACTAAATTGTTACGATAATAAAAAGGAATGATGACCTAAACTGCAAATAACAGGATCCAAGCTGTGAAATAAAAGGAATTTTCCATTCAGAAATACTTTTTCAGGTCGCTGATTGTAATAGTTGGTTTTTATAATAAGCTGTGATTGTTTCCATCCCTGCGATCAAAGAGGAAGATCCGCGCCAAATGAATGCAATTAGCCTCCTGGTCTTATGAATTATCAGCAGCACCGTAGAGATCATAATGGCCTCAAAGACACACAGCGAGAGCAAGATAGCATAAGACAGAGATAATAGTATTTGTCCATAATAAAGCCTAGGAGGCTTATGTTTACATTCCTATTTATTTAATCTTTTAATCTATCTTTTGACATCTTATTTTTTGGAAGGACCCACAGCAGGTCGATAAAAGCGCTGCTGTGCTAATCCCAGCATCCTTGAGGACTTCCCAACGTTGATGAATGTTTTTGAGCCTAGATTCAATTGATATTCAGGACACTTTCCCGCTTAACTCGACTATGCCTACTTTTAAGTTTTTTTTCATCTGTAAGTCTAATGAATTTCGTTGGAAGGTTGGAAAGTTAGTAAAGACCTTAAAAGCACTCCGTAAAGTGCTTTTGCTTTCATCACAAGTATGAGCAATTTAATGGAGAGACACAAGTCCTGTTCGATCGCTAATTATTTTGTCTGGAGCAACAGCAACACATCACTGTTGAAAGGATGAAAAGACTGGCAGACTAATCGACTACTTTATAGTATGAAATAGTTTCTGTCAGATGAACATTCTTCAATAAAATACGCTGTACATTCAGCACAATTATTTGCAACTGGATTTATAATTTGTCAACAAGGCTGCAAAGGACAAAAAGCTTGTATTTCTTATCTTTTTGAAGCAGGAGTTACAGCACAGAGGGATCTATCGGAGTGCTACACATCTCTTTTTGCCAAAGCTCAATAAGTCTGTTCGAGGTGTGCAGTATTGCATTGGGATACAACTTAGAGAAGCGAGTGAACGCAGCCTTGTCATCTCAACCTGAGCTGTTCAGACGTGGTGAATCGTTTTTGTTAAAAATACTTCCGTTAATTGAACTTGAATTCATGCATTTCATTACCTCACCAGATGCGTGGCATAATATATAATGATGTCCTACTGGCTGAAACATAAACATGCTGTTTGGATTTGAACAGAGGATCCAATTAGTTTTCCTGTGTCAATAGCCAACGCCATGGTTAGGGATTTGGGGGGTGGTTTGCATCAAAATGGTAATTGTTACACTGGAACCAGACTCTGGAACCAAAGTTTTCTTAATACACAAGAGGATCTTTCATACTAATTTGTGATTATGCAGTGTTATTCTAAAACTAAAATGAAATCCTCCATAGATGTTCTGTTGGATGCGGTTGATAAACTCGGAGCTGCGTACCACTGACTGCTCACAGCGAAATCAAACCAACTAATATATTGTTAAACAGAATTATGACAGTGTTGGCTATTAACGCTTGTTGTTTCTCAGAGCCCTGCCGGTATGTTTTTGGAGGCAATGTACTGAATATTTTTTGTGATATAAATTAAAAAAAACTCTCCCATCTGCGAGAAGTCAGTTTGATGGCTTTAATTACAAAGCCATATTTGACTTTATGGCTTCTTTGTCTTTGGGAGACGTGAATGGGTTGCTCAGCAGCAGCCTCTGTAATGACTTGATCTTTTTTTTTTTTGCCCGGCAAAGTGAACCCGAACATCCGGCATCACTCGGGTGTCACGAACTACCCTGTGGAAAAGGGAGAGGTCTGTCACATCCCTTTGATATATTTATGCCTGTAGGGTCGAGGCAGTGTGGCGTCACCTGACAGTTAAAGGTTTAACTGTACTTTAACATCTCAGTAGGTTTTTAGGAGTTTAATCCATTTGTCTAACCCCAGAATATGCATACAACTTTTATTCTTTTCTTCAAATCACCACTTGTTAACACGTTTAATATCATGTTGAGGGACTGAAGCAGAAGAAGCCATGACATCGGAACAAGGCTTTGTTTTTATCACTAAGCTAAGAATACTCATAGCACTCATAGTTATTTGTCTTGCCATTATCTCATTGTCTTACTGTGCAATGTTATGCATAAACCGCCATTTCAAATTCATTGTATGTCAAACGTACTTTGGCAATAAATGTTCCAGATTCAGGATTCTGAAAAAGAGCTCCCCTCATGAATTAAATCTTACAGTTCATGAAACTCTATCTGCTTTCAGATTAGTGGTGTAACGTCTGTTAAATTCACCTTGAATGCAATCGAGCTCTTTATCAAGACATGGACGTCCAAACATCTTGTCATTAGCCATGTTTTCCAAAGGGTCGTTCAACAGGCAGCTCTGCTGACTTAACCGTCTTTTTTCAGGTCCTGTGTAGTTCACGCTGAGATGTGAAGAAAAGTCCCGTAAATCTTTTTGTGGGTCCGGAGATCGATGATGAATCTGATAAATCATCTCAAGAGATGAGTCGACGAATGGAAAGAATCTGGGGGTGCGGAGTTGGAGAGAAGTAGGTTCCCTAAACCATCGCTACCCGCTCTCGTCCTTAAGCTTCAGGCTTAACTGCTGCTTGCATAACACATTTCTGGACAAACTGTCGGTGGCTGAGGTGCAAAATCACCTCTTTCTTTGCATGATTGGAGTAATATTTCAGTGCCCTGCACCACCACTTTGAAATATATGAATAGAATATGCATAATATCTGGATAAAAGGCATGCTTCAAATGTGGGCAACTGCATTTCATCAACCTCAGTTCCGCTTCCACATCTGGAGTTAAATCACTGTTTATTGTCCGAGGTCAAAGCACATCCTGGTCTTTGGAGCCGGTTATTTAAGTTAGTCTGACAGTAACTTGGAACACGGTGTACGGAGACCTACAAGAGGCAGTGAAGTGAGTCTGTAGCATCTCGCGTTAAATTATTGCAGTCGTTTCTACAATAGAGAGAAGAGTGAAAACATTTACAAAGGAGGTTTGCTACAGAACCTTCCCTGAGTGTAAAAACCCCCAACCCTATTCAAGTTCTCTATTCATGCAATGATGTCTTTATGGTATGTCAGTATATGAAATACGGACAGGACTTTGGACCTAATGACACTGTAAATGCGTTTATTCAACATTAATACACAAACAAAAGATGTATTTGTGTTTTACACCAAACGACCAGGTATAGCTGTGAGGACGCAGAGGAGAGGCTTGATGTTTGTCAGGTTAATCGTTAATGTTCCTTGTGCTCCCTATAGAACATACCACATCATTAACCTCAGACTGCTGTATCATCTGCCCCAAAACGTCTCTAAACCACTTCTGCTTCCAGAGAATGGGATTATTTTTAAAAGACTGAGGAATTAGACGATTTCATTTCCATGCCTTGGGGATCTCTATTTCAGAAACATCTCCCGGCTTTCATTCGACCATCTCTCAGAAAACCAGCGATTCTCTGTTGTGCATTTAAGTTTATCGTTTCCCTTTTTGCTCCTGCGCTCACATCCTGCCCAAGCCTGTTATGCAAAGGTTAAGTAGAAATAGAGGTGAGATGAAAATAAATATTGGCAAAACAGCAGGAAATTGAAAACACCAGACCGTCCATGCATGCCCTCCAGTGCTGAACAGCTTTTAAGTGAATTTTGTTGGATTGTTTTTGTCACACAGTCCACTTACTGATTTGACAATTTTGTCGTTTTTGCCTCTTGGTTTCCAGAGTGGACGATCACACAGTTACAAATACAAAAAAACACCCATTTGTGTATCGGACGATTAATCATTTGATGTTATTAATGTGATCATTTTCCATATGCATTATTGTCAATATCCTCTTGCTGATAACCAGGAACACTGTGCTGTTTTTGTTTCCGCCTCTCAAAGATAAATTCAAAGTCCCCACAGTGTGAGGAGTCTTTCTTCTTGAATTTTTTTGCCTCATGACTTTATCTCTGACATTTGTCGGGCACGGCGGATACCGCTGCTCATAACAACTCGCTTATTTTTATTGATTCCGGACTAACTGTTGTTGCCGTTGTCAGACTTCTTCTCCGTGATTCCTCCTGACTAAAGTGTTATTGTTAGAGCAGAAGAACCACCGGGCCACTTTAAAATTCATTCATTCTGTCACTGCAGTGGTGACTCATCTATAAAATTGACACAATGACAATGAGAATGAAAAAAGAACTGTTCCTATAAATGTAAATATATGATATACAGGGCGGCATGTTTCGGGTACCACCCCCCCCCCCCCCCCCCCCCCCACGTTCCCCCTCTCCCCCACGACCCTCTAAGGATCAGCGTTGTAGCAGATGAATGAATGGATATATGTGACACAGTATGTTTTGAAGGCATGTGCTGTTGAAGGTCAGAGAAACCATTTAGTGAATGAAGTGTGAATGCTTGTGAGAGTTTTACAGCCGGCCAAAGAGAGATTGTGAGAGTGGGTGAGAGATTGGACAAAAGGTGCTCCGGGTGTTCACTGCACTCAACATTTTCACTCAGCGGATTTTATTACCTTGCCTTTTCAATTTAATCTTTGGGTGTTTCCCCCTAACGTGTCCCTGAATGATCTCTGTCAGAGCGTGAAATAGAGAGAGAACAGCATGCGTTTTGATAGAGCTGGATCGCATTACTTACCGTTGCCAAGGGGATTGTATACAGCATAATTCGATGGGGGGGTGTTGTGTGTGTATTCCGCGCAAACAGGTTCAGAACATTGTGCACGTAATCTTTTTAACAGCTCGCAAAGGAAGTAGTTCCTTGGAGACGGCCTACTGATCATGTTGTCAAATGTGTTATCTGGAAGAGGCTGGGGGGGAACTGCAGACAGGTGTCCTGCACGGTATGATGTGGCAATCGTGTCCACGTTGTGTCCGTGCCTCATCATGCTCTAGGACCAAGGAAGCCGCTTTTAACATTTAATATTCTCCTCTAGCTGGTGACAGATGCTTCAGGCTGACAGATATCCTTTACATTACAACATTTTCCCTGGCGCTGCTGCTTTAAACAGACTGCAACATTCTTCATATGGTGCTGAGTGTACATTTGGTGTGCCTGATGAATTTAGTTCTGTGCTGCATCAGCTGCATTTTCATTTTTGCTGTGCATACATAATGGCTGTGGGATACAGAGTTTACAATTGCTTTTTTCTGCTAATGAGGCATCTCTTGCCTTCAAACGTAAATGTATAGAGGACATCCTCAGTTATCCAAAGGGGTAATTCAGATCTGGTATTGAGCTGCAATTGTTATCCCTTTGCTTTCCTAAACATGCATCAAGCTCATACAAAAGCAGGACAGTCTTATTGATTTGGTGTTGACAATGGCCATGTCATTAAAAGACACTCACTGCTGTAAAAAATGTGATATGCAGAATGACATTTACATTGTCATTAAAATAAAAAAGTCAATATGCTTTCTATGCTGTGATTCCTAAAGCAACTGCCTTTGATTTGTTGCCTGTCACACTTTGGTGCAGTCGGCATGTTGTGAAAATTCTGGATGGACGATTTACTGTCTGTTTCTACTCTGAAATATGAGTTGGTCCCTTTTTGCTCCAACAAAAAAGAGTCTGTTAAGTAATACAATGTCATCTGAATAAAATAATATATATATAATTATTATTATAGGAAAGTTATTTTATATTGAAGAAATAAATATCTGCCGCACAGTGTCCTCTCATAGTGTCTTATGCTTTCAATTAGGATCCATGGCAAGCAGTTTATCTATCTGTTCTATTTGATCTTTTTAAAGTGCGCAGGTTGCATTTGGTTTCTTTTCACTGGGTTCATCACATATAACCCTGCAGCCGCAATGCTA